GCTACTCGAATAAACGCCGCTACGGAATAAGCGCCGCAGCGCTAATTTGATTTACAAATAAACACCCCAACTTTGTTACCGCGCTTGATATAAAAAGATATCAAAACCATATCGCTTGACAAACAAGACCACGACCCGCTCGTGAGTTCTACAGTAAAACTTTCGAAACCAGGTTCTTATAACGGTTCGAGGTGTGCATATTTGTCCTTTTTCTTGCCCAACTAGGAGTTCTGTCTATATTCCCCTTAGTGTTTTATCCGTAGTTGAAATAAGTGCCGCTCCCTAGTAAACGCCGCACCTTTAACATGGAAAATGAAATAAGCACCGCGGCGCTTAATCGATCATTTACGGTAACTTGGTAACTTCCGCTATCCGACGGGCATATCGGAAAGACTGAAAACACTCAAATTGGATGAGAGTATAACACATTCAAGAAGAAACAAATTTGTGATTTTTGACAACTCGATAAAATAACTAAAAATGTGTACTACTCAGTTATACAAGATTTTTGTTTTCAATTTTAGATTTTTACGATGGAGCATTAGCTCCCGTACTCGCTAGACACTACTTCACAATCACCGTGTTAAAATCAGTGAAATATTCCATTTGCTTGGCGTACGTTTTGAAGAACATTAAAAACAATTTGGATTCCTACCCTTATACCTTTATTAAAAATTAAACTTGGGAAGTTTGTTGTTTTCTAAAAGTAGTTTAAACAGCCGAACGACATTTTTTACACGGAGTGGGGAAGGCAAAGCTTCACTTTTCCCTTCTAAGGTAGAATGTGTCAGCAAAACGTGAGAGTCGTCCTTGAGGGTAAATTGTCTAACCTAATTTTCTCACCGATTGCAAGTGCCATTTCATCCACGCATAACCTCACCTAGTTAACAGAATTAGCAAATGTAATAGGGAAACTTTACGAGAGAACTGAGTAAGAAGTTAGGGTAAGTTTTGAAAATTGTGCGCACACCTGAAAAATCCTGGCTACGCTCCTGATAGAGAGTTTTGCTGGAGACAAATTGAAACGTGCTCGCTTATATAGTGACGACGAGAAAGGACAAGCCATAGGATAGTTCCAGAAAACCACCCATTAAAATAGATCATGAAGTTGTCGCGGCGGAAGATGAACTTCAATTTTACATGGGAGCCCAGACAAGATTATGTACGACGGGCGCAGATTGTTTGATCTGGAAAATTTAGAGAAGCTAAAGGCAAATCGCTAGACAACACATGCTACAGCTGAAAAAAAATGTTTTGCGCTTTTGAACTCTGGTCCTAAGGGTAAAAGAGAAAGTTTCCCCTTATCAATGCATTGACCAAGTTGATTATGAATGTTTCCTTATGTTGGACGTCTTACCAGTACTTGTCCTCGGAGGCGTTTTTGAGTTGACGAGCAGAGAAAATTAGGTTTTGACGGTTTAAAAATTCAGGATGCCAGAGTGAAGACGCCCATTGTATGATGACGTCATCGTCCTACAGTAAAAAGCGTTCGTTTTTTACCACTGATATTTCGTCAATCGGTACACTTATGTTGTCGAAAGGTCAGTGAGCATGGTAAATGATTTTACATTAAAATGCAGACACATCTTCAGTCACTCCTTATTGTTCGCGATATCGGATAAACACTCAGGGGGCGGTTGCTGGAAGCCTGGTTAGCGCTAACAGGTGGTTAAGAGGTATCAAAATGTAGAGGTTTCCATGGTATTTAACACTGGTCACTGGCTGGTTAGCACGTGAACCATGCTTCCATTTGGAAACTGGCATCTTTGTCGTCGAGTGAGGTAATACATTTCAGTTTCATTACTATGGTTAATTTTAAAAGCTCTGGTTTTGATAAAGGAACTGGAGGAAAATCAGGAAAATTCCAGTTCGACTGTGATGGATGAATTTTGTTTACGCGTCGTAGCATAAACATAACAAATTCATTGTCCTTTTCCTTATACAATCTGCCATTTTTGTACTGTTTTTCGCAGCAGAGTTATCACTTATATTACAGGGGCTAATTTTATTATTCAGATCACTCAGATTTAGTGACAGAAACTGTATTATCGATTGTAATTTTGGCAACACCTGGCGAGTATTCGGTGTAAAAATTATTGACAAAGTCGCTAGAGCACTCTTCCATTCATTACTTTTGTTTCTGTTCCGTTAAATTTGCCCAATTTTTTTATTAACGAACTCGATTTAACTAAAAACAATGAGTGTTCAGGCAGAGTGGCAAGCTTCAATGCGATGTGGCAAAAGAGATACACGCCTTTGAAAGTCTGTTACTTTTGAGGGTGTAAAAAATTCAAAAAGCATACCTACCGAACGTTTAATCTATCGTTGCGAAAACGTTATCAATTTCGAAGTAGTTTCTAAAAATACAATAAAGAGGGATTATAGTTCTTTCAATGTGTATTGGCAAAGGAAGGTTAGCTTTGAAGACAGGGTTGTAGTCGAAGGTTCAAAAGCAGCTTCTATTAACCAATATGGCGCCGGTCCGAGGCATCCAAAAACCGGCCTTGTCGATAAGTAATGGTAACACGACTGAGTGGAGTCCAGTTCGGTCTGTAATCATACGGGTGATTAAAAAAATCGGACGACCGCGTAGCGGGAGTCCGATTTGTTTAATCACGAGTATAATAAGAGACCGAATTGGACGACACGAAGTTCTGTAACCAATTAATCATAACTTTAACAAAATTTGTGATATATTAGGCTCATTTTTTTAATCAAAACACAAGAAACTCCGAGATTTTTTTTGCTAGCAGTGAAAAAAAAAGCCATTTAAGCGCGCGCGTGATGGCGCATACTGTCAAATTACCTAGGCATGACGCGTACTGTCCTATTTAACTGTCCTATTAACGCTGAAATCAGGGCAGTTGATAGCCAATCAGATTTAAGAATTTTGTTATAGTTATGATTATTTCCGAAATAGGAGGAATTAGACCTAAAGTTACCTATTCCTTGTTAAAGACCCCAAATCAAGTCTACATACCAATTTTTAGCCAATTCGGTGAGATAGTGTGGCAGCGACTTTTCAATATAGTTCGAATCTTATAGACAACAAAGGAATTTCACGGGTTGTGTTTACGAGAGGTTTTAATTGGAATAACGATGTCAAAATGCCCCTTGTTAAATTATCTGATATTAATTGGTAAATTGTATTTATGGGATTGCAGAAAGAAACAGGTACTTCCAAACATCGAAGGTTTCAAATTTAAAGTAAGAATTAAAAACCAAGTTGAAAAATATATTTCCACTAAGAATAATAAATTAGAAACCTTTTATGAAAAATGGCCAAAAGACGTTTCCCCCCTATAATTAAGTTCGTGTAAGTAAGTAAGTAAAGACTTTATTTTATGAGGGTTAGCACGAAATAGCCGGGGCTAATAAACTTGTGGCCCTCTTAATAATAAATAATAAAATAATAAATGAGTATACTAAGCTATGAAAAAAAAAATACAAGATTAAAACCAATTAAGAATACAGATACTATAGAATCTACTAAATTATTTAAAAGATAAAATATAGCGTTATAATAATCTCACAGTTCATCAAGTAACTTAAATAGAAAAATGATCAAGATTCTGCTGTTGTTTAAAAAATTCATTCCACAATGCTTTTTTTAAAGAGTCAACTGAGTCCCTTTGCCTTACAGGCAAAGATAAGCTGTTCCACGCTTTGCAAGTTGTTACGGTAAAAGTTCTGCCTCCTTCTGTTTCGCGATTATACCTCGGAGAGGTTAGGTTAAAATTACAGTACCAGGTTTTTCTACTGTGGATGTTACTGTTTAATTTAAGTAGATCGTTGAGATAAACAGGGACGTCACCTTGTAATCGCTTATAAGCAATAATACATTTAGATATGAAAGCGTCTTTATAAAAAGGCAACCATTTCAGCCGATTAAACAAGGGAACTGATGGTGCTTGAGGGGGGGCATTCAGGATTACTCTAGCTGCTCGTTTTTGGAGCTTCAGGACCCGCCCAAGGCTTTCCTTATCACAATTAGTCCAAAGGACGCTTGCATAATTAATCACTGGCCTGATCAAAGCATTGTAATAAAGTAATCTTTGTTTAAGGGGCAGATAATTCATAATTCTCTTTAACAAGCCGATGCGCTGTGAAACTTTCTTACAAACAGTCGTATGCATGTAATTAAAATTGTAATCTTTTATCAGACACTTTTTTTTTCTTGAATAAAACAAAAACAAAAACAAAAACAAAAAAAGAGCCTGTTTTATTTTCCAGTTGTGCACGCTGACTACCTCCTGGCCGGAAACTGAAAAAGCAGTACGCGACAACTTTTTTCAACTCATAGCGAGTTGCAAAAGGTTTGAGTTCCCTTTATACAAAATTTACTGCCGCGCTGATAATGCTATAAAACAATTGGCTCATGCTTAAGAAGCTGCGCATATTTTGAGATATGAAGCACTTGGGAAGTTTGGAGAGAACTCAAGAGGCAAGACTTGCTCTCGGCCGAAGTTCGAGCTGCTCCGGCGCTCCTTTTGTGCTGTTCCAAAACTTCTCGCGAGCTTCATATCTCAATTTATGCACGCTGAGGCATGAAGCAATTGTTTAGTTAAATAAGCCTTTGGTTTCCTCCGGGTAGAGAGCGAATATATAAATCGATACATATAGAGGATGATTGAAACTAAAATTACTATTAATATTTTTTTTAAATGATATCCGCATGACTGGATATAAAAGTTAGATCTTATCATGCCAGGAATTCCAAACCTTTAGACCTTGACAGAGGATTGTAACGTTCTCAACAGAATACGTACGACCAGCTATGGCTTACGTCATTGTAAACCTATTAAAAAGGGTTGGAAGGAAGGGATTACATGAATAGTGCAGGAAAACAACTGGCGATAAAAAAATTTTTTACTAACTAATTAAGTCACAGCATTGACTTAGAAGAACCGCGGTTACGTAGTTTATATTTCTGAAAGTAGTTATAATCTCATTCTGAAATTGCTGGAGAGCCTTCTCATCCTTAAGCTTTTATACCACAGATGGGCGACATTGAACAGAAGACAAGAAGTCAAGTGAAGGAACTTGGTGGGCAACTGAGGGAAATGTCCATTGACATGCGTGTCTTCTCCCTCACCATGAGGTCCCTTTATGCAGAGAAAGCTGTTGGCACCGATCACGAACTTGCCCGAAGGTTTAGGGAACTTCGTGAGAAGACAAGGGACGACGCCATGGTTTACCTCAAAGGCATCCTCCCGACTTCAACCAAGTTTGTCGCTTCTATAAGCGAGTACTTTGAGTATTATGAAGCTCTGGAATATGGAGAATGGGTTGACATGATCTCAGACATCCTTGAAGAGACCGTTGGTTACAGAGAGCTTTGCGAAGTGGTACTTAAGATGCACGAAGACATCTTGGTACCCCTTAAAAAAAGGAAAGACACAGCAAATATCATGGTAACGGAATTTAAAGATCTTACAGAGGAATACGAGAGGCAGAGGGAAGAGCTGGAAGCTGCAGCAAGCACCAAACGTGGATGGGCATGGTTTCTTTGTTTTATTCCAGGCGTAAACATGATTGCAACTCCCTTGTTAGCAGCAGCTGCAGAATCAGATTTGGCAGAGGCAGTTGCCAAAGGCAAGCAAGCTCAAATTGCAGAGGCCGCTTCAATCACAGTTGGTACAGTCCTAATCCCTGCTCTTGAGCATTTCATAGATGGCCTTAGAAAGGCAGCAGGATTCTTCGCGGTAATGGAACAGGAATTGCGCAAGTTTGAAGGCAAAGCTGAAAAAGCCAAGGACAACCCCAAAAAGCTTTACTACAAAGTGATGAACAAGGAAGCGAAAGACATGAAGTCTATCTGCCAAATCTTCTATGCAGCCCTTCCAGACGTTAAGACCGACTTTCTGGCCATTCCTCAAGAGGGAACAAACCAAAATTATGTCGACCAATGGCTGGAGAAGCAAAAGAAAACAATCCGTGAAAAATGCAATGTCCCCAAGCTTGCCCAAAAGTTATTGCAAGCCATCACTGATTGAATCTTACCTTGATGTTCCTTGGGTAAACACTCCGCAGTTCCATTTACATTAATTTTACAACATAGATCATTTAACTTTAATTTTTTATCTTATATACATATATATTTTTATCTCATGGCTAGTCAAGAAAGGTAAACTTCAACAAAAGTCTCCAGGTTAAGAAGCTCTAGCTGATATCGACCTTTAAAGATTTGACTTTGTGTTGCATTGTTATTTCCAAATGGTAGGCCAAATAAGTAAGAATACCACTTTGAACGTTTTAAAGACTGTGTTAGATTTGACTAGACAGTTCAAAACAATTTGGAGGACGTTTGCAAATACCATTGGTGAGAGACTGCCTTTAGTGCTCAAGTATGTTGGTGGTGTGTAAAATTATTTCAGATACATATGCACATGGCGCTGTGTAAATTTTAGTTGGCTTAACCTCCAATTTAATACCTCCAATTGTCAGAATGCATTTAGATATTTTTTCTAGAAATTCATTAGCCGGACTTAATTATTGGGTACCATACAGCTAATTTGAGAAAAGCTGTCTTAAGAAAGGGCATAAGCGTGCGACGGTCAAGGCCTCTCGATTATTGGCCAGTTGGAAAACGTCCTTTCAAGACCACATTCAGTGGGAACTGCATGTAAACCATACTGTTAAAAACAGTCTTATGTTCTTTGCCAGTCCGGGATGCTTATCAATATTGCAACCTCGTTCCCAGTCGTCCTCGGATGTGACGTCACCTGTCAAGCTTGTCGATAAAATTCGCGATCAGTTCCAAGCCTCCTCTGCTAACTCGGATAGGGCGAAGTGGCCTGGGGACGAGGCTGTCAATTTTGATAAATAAGACCAAAACAAACCAATAACCACGCGGTGTCAAGATTCAAGTCAACGTGCATGAACCAAAGGAACACGAGGGTTTCATTACATTTTTTGCTAAATAGTAGCACTGATGTTTCGTGGCATGAAAAAGTGCTGGAATAAAGTATCCCAGATCGTACAGTTTATAAGAAAACCTTTATCTTAACCTTTATCTGTATATATAGTCATGAGGACAATTAACTGCAAAACAGTTTTCATGTTAATCAACCGATTTTAAGCGTGTACAAGATTTTTGTGTAGTTAAACGAGAAAATGTGTGAACGTTTTACGTATAGATCAATTTGTAATCATTGTCTTTTTTCACTGCGGTTTTATCTCACCTTAAAAATAAAAATCTTTAAGAAATGGTTTGTGTTAACGACAGTTACATTTCCTTGTAATTTGGTGCGCCAATACTGCCGATATTGGGTGGGGAAACAGAAAAAATAACCATACCAGGCAGTTAATGATCTTAAAAAGAGATTATCATGCATCTTATGAATATACTTCAAATTGCGTGCATTTAAATCTCATTTCGAGTTTAACCATTTGACGACCGTCACTAGGGGAAGTGAACAAACAGCATTTTTCACCCATTCCTCTTTTTTGGACTGGTTTTCGGCTAATTAGCAAGAGAATGGCTAAAAATGAGCTTTGCACAAATAGGGGCATATTTTCCGATAAATAGGCATACACGTAAGCCAAAATTTGGACTTGTTTTCAATTTTCGAATCTATTTCGATCTTTCTTTCTCGCTCTCTTCACTCTCTTTGCCTTTCTTTTTTATAGCCAGTTTTTTTGCCCACTTTACTACCGTGCTTTCGTTTGCATGGAATTGAGCCTCAATCAGTGACGTTTTATTTAAGGGACAAATTTGAGGTGGCTCTATGGGGTTTTTTTAGGGTCTCTCCCAATTTCGAGTTACGTTGCTGTTAACAAGGGCTTAGAAAAATTTCCACCACAGCTGCACTGTAAATCAGAAAAATGTGTTTTAGCCCTGAAAATAGGGCCGTTTCGGTGAGTAAAATACAGTCCTATTTTTGAGTCTAATTTGGTTCCCTTAAATCAGGGCGAATACAGTCCAATTAGCTAGGGCTGATTTGGTCCCAGGGCTGAAATGGGCCCTACCGTGGGCTGGAATAGCCTTTTGATTCACCTTTTTTGGGCCTAGATTGTGGTCAAATGGCTCCAGGGAGGGCTGAATCAGACTTTGGCCTGCAGGGCTGAATTGACACTTTGGGGCTGAAGCAGTTCTTTTTAATTTTCATTGTGTATAAGATAAAGATGCCGAAGATTTGTTATGATCAGTCGGGGTTACAACTACATCGGAGTTGTCATAGAAACGAAAAAGTAAGGGAAATAAGTAAAATAAGGGCTACAATTCGCTAATATTTTGTCGGAAATTTCATGTTTACAAGTGAAAACCACTCAATATTCAGACGTATTGTCTCCAAGTTTCATATTTTCGTGGGCAACAATAGCAAACATTTCCGAATATTTCAAATGCATTGTTAGTTACTGTTGTTCATCACCTGAAAATAAAATTGGAGACAACACCCGTGAACAATCAGAATCTCTCACTAGTTAATACGAAATTTTCGACAAAATGTTAGCGAATTGTAGCCCTTATTTTACTTTCTTACAAGATATCAATAATCTTGAAACTCAAAGTTCTTATGAATTGACGGTTCAAGAATCTCAATTTTTTTTAAAACAGCCTATCAAGCCGTTTTCAAATTATTTGCTTATTTGCTTAAGTGGACCAAAATGTTTACAAAACCGCTAACAAGAGCTCATCGATACATTGTAATCAAATGCTTCTTTCTAGAAATCGGCTAAAGTTATCTCCATGATTTTTCACACACGGTTTTAAAAAGATTGAAACTATTATGAGGTGAAATTTCATTTCAAAAGCGCTTTGATTTCTACAGATAACGGCCGAACATCAAGATTCTCCAGTTTTAACTGTATTTCTAATAACCATAAAAACTTCATTATCCCAAAATATCTCGATAACGCTCATACAGATTTCGCTTAAACGGACAGGTTCACGGTTAAGCGCATGCTTATTAATTAAATTGCTTTTTTCCAATTTATTATTAATTCTCTCGGTTAATAATCCCACTTACATGTATCTCAGCGATCTCAGAGTGTATTTCAAAGTAGAAGTGTATTTCAGAGTAAGCTAAAGTAGGATGGAGGAGTACTAAAATCGCAGAAGAAATTAGTAGATTATGTTAACACTACCAAAGTGTTGAAACGTCAGTCACTGTCAATAACAACAGTCCTATTCAGGACTACGTTCACCTGGACGATCAAACTCAACCTACTTTTGAAAGTTGAATTTATTGTTGACCGGAAGGTTTTATTCCATGGTTGATTAATTTACAGCTATTTGCAAATATTTAAGTTGATCAAGTGCAAGTGACTGCCAGGGGAGTGTGCAGATTAGTTATTTGACAACATTATGAAATGGTCATATTGCTTGCATGGACGATACAGCATGTCCCGGCAGAAAAACAGCATATTGATAAATGAGCATGAGCTGAACCGTGAACCTGTCCCTTTAAACTTCACTAACATCGAGGGGGCTGTTGGAGGAAAAAGTTCTCGTGAATGATTTTGGAAGAAGAGTTCCCAGTGCCGAGAAATATACGGCTACAAATAAAATAGGTAATGGCGTCATTTCCTTGCTATGACAACTCCGATGTGTAACCCTGATCATAACAAACTTTCATCTTTATCTAATACAGCTGTGTTGGTAATTTTTCCAAATCATCGTTGATGGCAACCTACATAGTTTATTCTCAAACCTGGAAGGTAAAAATTAAAGCAAAGCAAGGATTTGAAGTCACTCATGGGAATCAAACTCGAAACCACCCTGGGGGCGGTCGGAAGATGCGGTAGTCCCTTTGGTAACCCAGGCTCTGTGATAGTACCGTGGACTGGTCCGTGAGGTGGTCCAAGGACCCAGCCCCCCTAGTACGTTAGAACGGGCCATTTCGGTGTACCTTTACAACGCCTACTAGACCATGCACGCAAGCTAAACCAGCGAGTCGGATTTTCGCGCGTTCCTTACATTGATGTATTCCACAAGATAGAATTGTAGTGTAATTCATAGTTTTAGGGAAAGCTGCAACTTGCTTTGGGACTTACAAATAGAATTTTTTTAATACACAGATGGCGGACATCGAGAAATCTGCAAGAGATGCAGTCGTTGAGCTTCATCAGCAAATTCAAACTATGACAAATAATCTGCGATCGTTTTCTTCTTCTATGCGGTACCTTTATGAAGAAAAGGATAGCTTCACCTTTTTTTCAGGAGCAGGCATGAAACTTAAACAACTAAGAGATGACTCAAGAAGCGACGCCATGGTGGTTCTCAAAGAAGTTCTTCCACTTTCGACCAAGTTTGTTACATCTGTGAGCAATTTTTTCGATTGGTATGAAGGCCTAGAGTTTCAGCAGTGGTGCGAAAAAATCCCCTGGATTCTGCAAAAGACGGTTGATTACAGACAACTCAGTGAAATGCTCTTGAAAAAGTATGAAGCCACTCTCACTCCGCTAAAGAAGAGACAGGACCATGCACGGCTTCTCGTAACAGAATTGGGGGATCTTGAAAGAAGCTATGAAAGGAAAAAGAGAGAACTTGAAGACACTGCAGCTACCAAGCGAGGCTGGGCCATTGGACTCGCTTTTGTTCCGGTTGTAAACTTGGTAGCATCGCCTGCACTAGCATGTTCAGCGCAGTCCGATATTGAAGAAGCAGCCAGACAAGGTGCCTTGGCAGCGGTCCAAAAAGATGCTGCAAGAAAAGTCAGTGGAAAGTTGATCCCTGCACTGCAAGACTTTGTCGCTGGCGTCACAAAAGCAGCAGGTTTCTTCTCCGTAATGGAACAGGAATTTCGAAAATTCGAAGGTAAAGCTGAAAAAGGAAATGATACCCGCAAGTTTCTTCACTACAAGGTGATGAAAAAGGAGGCGAGGGATATGAAGTCCATCTGCCGGGTTTTTAATGCGGCCCTACCGGAAGTGCAGAGGGACTTGTCGTTGATGGAAGGAAGTGGAATCATGTCATTGCTGGACGTTATTCTTAGGTGTTTAACAGCACATTAATTGTAGCTACGTTTTCCCAAACAAAGCTTCCCAGGCAATGTCGCGCAACAAACGATTTATAGACTTATTCTGTGGACAATTCAACATTATTTTCGAAACTCTGAATTATATTTATAGAGTAGAAGTAAGTGTGAAACTGGTTATTCAAGTGTGGCTATGTAACATTCAATTTTATGCTCTAAAAGACGTACAAGCTGTTGAGTTTTCTAAGTGATTTGAAAACTGTGATAAAGGGTCACGTGACGCAAAGAATTTCTTAAAAGACGTTACTTGTAACCCATCAGTAACAAATTTAGTGTTGCCCGTCTGTGATTCAGTTTCAAGAATCTACATGCAACATACAAGTGCTAAATCCCGATTATACTATTTGCGAAAGCGAAATTAAGTTGAATCACGTCACAGCAGAGTCGCAAACAGTTGTCTGGTATTGGTCCAGGGCTTTCAGATAGACTTTTGCCTGTTTTTCTTCACACGTTATATCTGACATTTCTCTACGCTAACTTCATCAAATTACAGTCTCCATAAATGCGTGACAGAAAACTTTTTTTGATATTAACTCGAAATATCATACCTTATTAATTTCAAAGCAACAGATAAAATACTTGAAGATTGTTTTAACATGTTTAATATTCAAGATAGACCCATTTCCTGTAAAAAGAAAAAAAATTAATTGGTTAATTTTTTCTTTGAAGCATTCCGAATAGGAAAATCCAAGACTTTGCGTGAATCATTATACCCAATGATGTATAAAATTATTTAATCAAATGTGCTGATTGCTATAATTTTTCTTACCATTATCTTAATCTAATTTTTGTATGCAGCACCATCCGTAACTGATATATACGTAACTGGTAATGCAAATAAAGATTGATGTTTAGTGTTTTTACAATTTACGGACTTGGAGTGCATATGAGGTGATTTTGTTAATGAAAAAATTACTGCAACTTCTTTATTAAATGAACGATTATTCCTCGAGCCCGAATTGGCTCTGAGTCAATAGCCCATGAGGGCCAGAGGAATAATTGTTTTAGTAAAATCCAACTAGTTGGCCAAAAATATCGAGAATAAAAAAAATTTAGCCAGTTAAAGCTAGACTTTAATCCTCTTTTTCCGCCAAAAAGCCCGCTCTTTTCGCTACCAGCGGGCTATAACATATAACCTAGTAGTAGCTCAACCAATCAGGACGGAGCATTGATAATAGACCACTAGTTGGATTTTTTGGGCTCTTTTCACTCTATACCGGGTAGCTTTTCGCGTCTGTCTAGTATATGTGACTTTCCACGTGCACTAATACAGATCGGCGGTGTGAACAGAAGCCATACATAGAAGCCCTCTAATGGTTTTCATGCCGACTCAAAAGCTATCCGGTAAAGAGAGTTGCTCATTAGTGATTTTATACTACTACATGAGAAATTTCTGCAATTTGATTGGCTTAGGGCAGCGATATTTCAGCTTAATTTGAAATACCTACATGTGAAAATTACAAACCTTTTGCGGGTAGTGGTATAAACAAATAATAGCATGATTTGTACGTGATATTTGGCATAAATACCACTCGCGATATTTCAAAATTGTCTCAAATTTCGTGAAATTACGTAGAACAATTTTGAAATATCACTCGTGGTATTTATGCCAAATATCACTGCAAATCATGCTATTACCTATACTAATTAGTTGAATAAATATACATTATCAAAGGATTAACATCTGATTCCATTTTTTTTTTTTCAAAAAGCTGGTAGGATAATTTTTATTATGTCCAACTGAAGCTCCACCTCTATCCTAACAAACGGTACATTTACGTTACATATGATTAATTGAAAAGTTGACTTTGAATTTTGAAATAGTTTGGTCGAATCCAGTAACCGAAACCTCCAGAGCATTTCTGCTAAACAAGCTACTACTGCTGCTTCTACTTCACTCGTGACGTTTCAACGTCAAGTCACCAGTACAGATGGCGTAATTTCGATCTTCCTAAGCTATCTTTCCATACATCCTTTTATCGATGACTCAGTCGCTTCATTAGGTCTTGTACTCTACAACATCTGACTTTCCTGGTAGAAATTGAAAGCAAAACAAGAAAAATATATTGCCTTTCATAAAAAAAAATCCTGTGAGTTCAGAGGTTTGTCCCCTGAAATTCAAAAATACAGTTGATTGATAAACTAAAGGAATAGACCAAGATTTCTATTGGTTTATTAGCATCAGCAATAAAGCCACTTTGGATGTTGAGGGAGAACAGGGGAAGAACGTTGTAAATCACAAGCGGCGGAAATTAATAAGAGAAGGATCTCCCTCAGCAAAACGTTCCTGATAAGAAAATATAACGGAAAGTTGGCAATCATAGTTCCGTGGCCTTTGGCGTTAGGCAAATCCCAAAAGAGCCGACAACTGTTTAAATTCAGTACATAAGGACGATGAGAACTTGAATTTTTTTTGCCCTGTAAATAAAGATATACTAACACAATGATGCCATTTGCTATACCATTTTATTCCGTATTTTGTTGTTAACACCTAAATTACCTCAGAAGAAGTGGTTCCTTCCTTTAGTGTTTCAAATGTGTTCTTGCTACCGAGAATTTACAACACCGAAACTGGAGTATTTGTTACAAAGGATTTTTTAAGTCAACCACATCAATTACAATTTGTCCCAATTTTTCTGTCACTGTTCAAGTAGGATCGAAAAGTCCACTCAACAACGTTTTATTTAGGTAGGCTCCGCCCTGAGGTCCCTGTATTAGGTTCCACAGAAAGGGTACCTCTTTCGTATGCATTCCATTGACAAATGGTCCCACTTTCACATATCTACGAATGAACACTGCATGCTACATGCAATGCTGTAACTGGTCTGTCTTTTTCATGTATCAATAAAAAGATTGAATACCGAAATGACCCTTTCATATGACTGAAGCCTGAAAAAGAAATCCCTTTCGGGTGGAGCTTCCCTGGAGGATAGGCCGGGGCTGGTAACGGCAAGACATAAGACGTAACAGAGGCTCTTACGTATGAGGCGATTTCAGTTCTAACTTTGCGTGTGTATGAAATCAGACTAAAATTTGCTAACTTAATTACAAGCCCCTGGACCTCGGCGTGAATGCTTCCAGATAGCATCATTAGCTTTTCAGTCAGTTTTACAAAACAATTTTTTACACCTCATCAAACTGTTCTGAAAGCCGATTTTCTAGGGCAAACTTTGTCCGGAGTCAGGAAGTATTCACTGCGGTTGAATCAGTTTAATACACCCTGCCGGTCCTAGCCGTGCAAATTAAATATATATCTATTTATACATTAATTCTCAGTCTGGTCACAATATTCCAACTTCTAAAATCGAGCTGACCGGGGAGGCCTGGTCCTGAGATTCTGGCGACAAATCCTGTGCTTGCGGATTGCAAACCGTCCTGCGATATTTTGCACGAGCGTTTTGAAACCAAACTTGTAAAACTCGTTTCGAGAGGCCGGTTTTTTGTGAGAGTTGCTTTAAGTCTTTTGCGTCTGGGTTGTGATTCATTGCAAAGTATGCTTTCATTGCTCTAAGCTGATGATGCTTGAATGACGTGCGCATGCGTTTAGGCTTGCTGTCCCCATTGTGCTGACCAAGATGACTCTCTGCTTCAGAAATTGTGAAACCTAAAAAATGGATAGATACAAGCATAGTACGTGAGTGTAAAACCAACTGAAGCTAAAATCATTGCCTGGTTGTCCTAAGTATTAATTTCGAAAGAAACATTTGTATTATTGACGCCACAAACAAGGATTTTGGCTATGATCTAGTACTTTTAAAACTGTTTATTTACTAAAGCTGACTCAAGTTTCAGTCGATGTCTGTTGTCTGATAACCTTTTAATGATATTTTTCTTTAAAAGTTCTCCGCAAGTACAAGCCATGTTCACCTGAAAGTCAAACAAGATATAATATAGTGGAATCACTCGCTCTTGGTGAAATCAAAGTTAAAGCAACAGTAACCCGTTACTGCGCATGTACCAAACTTTGATTTGTTGAAAGAGGCGAGTAAGAGGACCGTGAAAAATCCGCTTGCATCGCGCTTGACCGAGTTCAATACTTCACTAAAATTTCTCGTAATTTCTCACACCATGTGCTATTTCGTAAAAGTGGGACATCTGGGTCACTCCTTGTCCCCCCTCCCCCCCGGTAAAGTATCTATCAATCTGTGTTCAATAGTTTTTACTCGTTGCTTTTTAAATACTCTTTAATGAATATAAACCTAAAAGAGTTTCACAGGTCGACAAAGTACAAATAATTATATGAAAGAAGATCATCGCAGTCATAGACGAAACTTTTGCAGTTGCGAAAAGAAGGCTTGACAAAATTCAGATCTTCTTTCATACAATTCTTCACCCCGCAGATCTCATATATGATTTTCATATATTCATAACTTCAAAGAACCAATAGTTAAGACAATAAATAAACAATCTTAACAAAATTGTCACTATTTTGACGAGAGTTAAAGTGCATTACCAAATACTATCCCTGTACCTAGCCCACTGTCAAACTTCAGCCAGAATAAGAATTGCAAGTTACACCAGGCGGGTTTAAGGTCTTTTAACTTCTAACTTTTAGAACTGCATTAATGGCGATCACTCTCCTGACTTCAGTAGCTACCGACTGAAAACAAGTCTTGACGCTAAATCCTTTCAGCTAGGAAGCAGCTATACTAGGTTATTTCCTTCGGACACGCTCAGTAGTCATGCAGTAATTATACTAGGTTAGTACTGAGTATGGTGAATTGAATGTTCACTAGTAGTAGCTGCATCATGTCTGTTTAGAAATTCTGTTCGCTGGTAAACTATAACAACTATTAATAACTATTCTTTAAGGTTAATATGAAAAACATTTTTACAATAAACAAAAAATAGAATCAAGCATTAGCGAGGAGCGACTTAGAATTAACGCGATTGGAAACAAGCATCTTCAGTGTGTCTAAACAAGGCTGCCTTTTTTAAGCCACTTAAAAAGTACCTTTTAAACGATATTAAGAATAATTAAGCTTTTAATACCTTCCATGCTAACAGTATTAAAATAAAGGCGGCAAGCTGTCAGTGGTAACTAGTTCTTGCAGGTGTAAAGTGTGTTATTTGTTCTTTTGATAAGACAACACTTTCGCAGTCTACATATTGAACAGAAATTCCATTTAGCTCATAAGAGTCGTTCCTTTTGTTGTTCAATTACCTATAACGTACCAACGGGTACTGTAAAATTCGAAAGTGATTGAAAATTCTTGAAAAAACTACAGCAGCAGCCCACTGATTAAAGACACACAGGAACACAGTCAGGGTTATAGTTGATCAGTGCGCAAATCCATCAAGAAAAATCTTTAAAAAGTCTGGATTAGCCATCTTAATTTGTAGACTAAAAGGTTCTATTCATTAGGTAGTCAAGATGACGCCATGACGAATCAAAAGCTTCAAGAAATATCAACTACTCATACAATATGATGTATTGCACCAGCTATCTCTCCTTGAACATTAAAATTTCCAACTGGAACACCGTATTTGGTTTATTTTTAAATTTTGTTTAAGCTTATGAGAAGGAATGTAATGCCCAAATGTAACAAGAAAAGTTGTTTTCGTCTTCAACACAATCTCAATCATTATTCCAAATCACCATCCATAAACACAATACAACACAGAAAGCTGCCAACACAAGACATAATGAAAACAAAAGTTACGAACCATACGCAAAGCTAATAAGGGTGATTAGCACCTTATATTGCGAGCCAGTTTAGAGTAATCAGCGCTTTTGTTCGCCAAAGCATCACCTGATAAAGCTGTTACGCCTTCAAGGGGCATGGATATTTTCTTTTTCCTTGGCCGGCCTTTCCCCGAAGAGGAACCGAGTGTAGATTTCATAGCATGGGCTTCTTCTCGGAGCAATACTTCATAGTCTGCTTTGCAAAATATTCTCAGTCCGCGCATGCCGAAGTATTCTCCTGTAGACAAAATTCTCTTGCAGCGTTCACAGGAAAAACAGCTGATATGGTAAACTTGATCGCGGGCGCGCATTACAAGTTCTTTGCTTGAGATGCCTTGATTGCAACCAGCACATTTCTTGACTGAAAAGCGTCTAGAAGAGAGAAAGGAAGGAGCAAGTTAATATGAAGATAATTACGTTTCAGTGCGCTTCATGTAACAGCCACTATCCGAAGCTTTGTTGATGGCGATATAAAGTCGTCATCACCATCATGTGTTTATAGGTTGTGTAAGGACGTTTTTCACTTAGTCTAACCTGTGACTAGACCGGGAGCACTTAAGTTTGAAATTGAGGCTATTCAATATAAACCAATACAAACTACGTTAGCGACAATGCAATTCTTATATAAGTTCTGGACTGGAAATCTGGGGAGATTGCAGGCTGTAAACGCTAACCGATCTTTACCAGTGTTTTTTCTTTGGGAAAATCACTGAATTCTAGCCTCTAAGTTCTGAGAACGAGTAAGTTTGCCTTGTAAGTTCACACGAGTCTTGAAAACGCATGAAACCTTTCTAACGTTCGTCTAGGTGTGAACGATGGATGTAAAATAAACGATAAACGCAGATCAGAACTGACCGTCTCCAGAGTGGACCCCTAATAGTTCAGAGTTCCCAAACTGGATAAATATTTCAGACACTTTCTCCTATAATCTTCATAAAATATGTTGCATCACAAATTTTTCAATAATAATCGAGAAAAAGAGGCAAAATATCACTCCGAAACTGACCTTAGCAACAACCTATCTTATTTACTGATTTCCAGTTTGAATGAATTGAATTATATCTACAGTGAGTTTCTCCCGTGTTTTGTTCAAGCGTTGGGTCAAATAAGTGATTTTAACAAACGATTCTAAATGCCCATCTAATTTATCTTATTGGATGATCCAGTCATCGCAAAGCGGAAGTCTGTTAGGTCTATTTTGTATCATTTAATAACTCTGGATGTAGTTGAATACTCAAGGCTGTTTACTCTTTGTTTTTTACACTGATGAGTTCAGCTTAAACAGATCAACAACTTTTTGGACTGCCTTTTAGACTGCAATCTTTTGGTAAAAAAAAGATCCTGTTTTCCTATTTCAACAATTTAAACTTCAAAGAAAAGTTTTTCAGTCCGTAACTAATAACTTTACTGATCTAGATCCTAGGTGTTCTTTCCATAGTTTCTATTCTTAAGTTTTGGTTAAAAAGATCCTATTTTCAGTGTATTTTCCTATTTCAGCAATGTAAAATTTAAAAGGAAAGTTCTCAAGTCAGTAAATAAATTTAAAAAAGGAATAAATCCAATATGCAGGATCTATTTCCTTTTTTTAACTTTTGCTCTTATTGTGATAAAGTAAAACGGTACATCATGATCACTAGACCTGACAACTGAGAACAAAACAAGAAAACATACGGAAATTGGTTGAGTAAAATCTAGTTCAAATTCAGAAATCCCCCGACATTGAAAGAAGCATGCACGACCAAAACAATAACAAATGAACAAAATTTACTTTTAACACCAGATGATGGGTAAAGCTGATTTGAAAGTGCTTATTGTTTTTGACAACAAAACCAACATTTCGCATTTTTACATTAAAATACCAAAACGCTGCATTTCCTTAGAAACAGGAAAGCGCTAAAAAGAATTGAATGAACGCAGTTGGCACTTCAGGATGTAAACGCCTTCTTTATAGCAGTCTGATGAAAAAAGTAATGCTTTATTTGAAAGACATGCAAATTTTTTGGATAAGATAGAGAGATGTTAAAGGCTTGAAAATACTCTCAACAGTACTTATTCAATTTTCTTTTCATTACCAAACAATGCTGTATAGAGGTTAAGAACAATCGGTTCATCAAAAATGATAAAAAGGTCAAGGAATATGCATGACAATGATTAAGTGAATCGTCAGGTACGCAATAAATTAACGCGAAAGACACTTACGTACAACTGAAACATATTTTGAAGTTTAACCCCACAAAACACTGCTATCTCGTCTATCCCAAAGGAAAACTTGGGACTACTCCGGTACTCTACATTTGAACTAGTGAATGGCCTAGTCCCGACCGAATTTTCTGCGCAGCTCAGAATTAGTCAAGGCATTCTGAGGTGCCAAGAGCTCGATATCTTGTCGTAGAGTCAGATTTTCGTCTTTTCTCGCAACAGTGCCAATACGAATCAAAAGTAACTTCCTGAACATCTCTCTCATATTTCAATATATATATTTCATGTAGTATAACTTCTAGTGAGTCTTTTCTGGCCATAGACACTTCAAAGAGAAATAAAAATGTCTTATTGTAGTATGATTTGGCAAATATTGAATTATTTTTCTTGATTTCCAGGCATATTGGCGCCAGAAACAAAACTTCATAATGGGCGATTAGATAAATATCATAATTTGGACCGAGAGGAATGGCCATCAATGATCTATGATATATAGACGCAAAGTGGGGTGCCTATTGTAATATAAAACAGCGCTCTCTATACCATGGGATTCAAGAGCGTATATCATTTGTGAGATAATCTTGCGCCTTAAAGGCCAATGACATTTTCGAAGGTTAATTAAGAATCAAGTTTTTGGAGGACTGTTTATCTTTTGCGGTAAACGAAGAGATAAACTGGCCTAGATTGAAAAAATCCTTGAATAGCTCGGTCCGTTCGTCTTTAGCGAAACTATCAAGCAATTCCCAGACAAAACAAAATAATTATGTACAATTTTAAAAATTTAACAACTAAAGTTTCTAATCATCTTTAATCAGTATTGGAAGTTTATGGTTAAGGTACAATAAAAAGTTTAAGGGAAGCGACAAATAGCTTATTCGTCACTTTCCTCAAAATCGTAATAAAAACGGGAGCTACTTTTGACGTTCTCGGCCAGACTGTCATTAAACGGACGGCCTCATTTTCATACACCGTCTCTTTTGTAACAGTTGGGTTCAAACTCAAAGTGACTCTGTTATGTGCATGACTAAATCCTATTTTTACAACGAACGGCTGCAGCACACACATAAGGCCGGTCCGGTATCTAGGTTAGATTAAGCAAGATAAGTGAAAGTTTGAGTGTTATCGCAAAATTGTAAAAGCTTATTTCCTTGTTCGCGGGTCTGGATTTGGTGAATAACACAGGATAAACGTGCTATCTGAATTTAGTTGTTCCACCTGACCTACAGTGATATTACATTGCATCACTTCATCACTTCGTCTTTCAAATCGAATTGGTATTTGTACTTTTGTTCAAAAATCTCGAAGTGAATAAGTTCTAAACTAAAGCACACACGAGGCGCTCTGGTCTCAAAGCTTTGAATTTCCTGACCTGTAATAATCCTCTCTGCACAATATTTCTCCATCCTTAGTGAAGCATGTCAGCTCGTTGTCGAGTCTTAAACTACACTCGTTGCATTTTAAACACTCGGCATGCCACTCTTGGTCGACAGCCATCAGGTAAAACCGGTCCACGATTCTCGCTCCACAACCGGCGCAAAAAGATGGCTTTTCGTCGAGAGTTAGTTGGTCCGCCGTCGGCATACTCTGAAAACAAGAGAGAAAAACTTCATGATTTTAAAGACGAGCCGTATAGGTCTTCATTGGGAAAGAGTTGTTATCGCGCGGTTTGAACGCCTAAACGCATCATAAATGTAACGCTATAAACTGCAGTGGTTTCACATTCTTTAAGGACCCGACACTCGGCGACACTTTGAGAAAGTTAAGCCAAGCACAGTGGGAATCATCGACTTTAGAGGGTTAGCATTTGGAAAAAAATCATGAATTATTGGAAATTGTTCTAACATTTTTATTTTTTTTCATGTAGGCCCCCCCTCTTTGATAAACATAAATATTTTAAACGGTAATCCATTTAAAAACAACAGGCCTTGCTGAAAAAAATCGTGCCCCAAAAAATTCATTCTTATGGAAAATTTGAGATGTTATTCAAACATTTTAGTTACCGTAATTATTGGTTTTTAAACCATCAGTAAGAAGTCCACATATAAACTTGATTAATCACGATGGGGTACGGTAACCATTTCTGATTATTTGTATCATGGTGCATTGTACTAAATTAACAAGTATTAGCATACTTTCTGTTAATTTCAAATACAACACAAATACAAAAACTGTATAACATTTCAATAGACAAACCGTCTTTTACCCCGAAACATTTTAGAAAAGTGGGAGAAGCTAGCTGAGGCCTCCTTAGTTTATAACCCTCAGAATTCTCATTATCCACGATTCTCTAATAGTTCTCATATGGTTCACAGCTTCCCTGTCGTTTCCATAGACATTTACTGAGTTGAAAGGCGTTCATGCACAATACATACGAACCAAACGAGGCCTTTCTTTTCGCTTCCTGGGCGGTTCAATAATTTTCCACTCACATAGACCACATAATCATCAACAATAATGCATTAATGGACTTTGAATACTTGCGCGCTGGAGGGATTCTGAAAAAGTTATATTATCAGAGCTTCCAACCACTGCGCATAAAAGTAAAATACTCGGCTGGAGCCTTAATTTTACCTTTCGTGTTCCAGGCGATACCTCAGTGGTGCACAAACTGGTCGACACAATTTTTGATTTGAAGATAACTCTGTGTGTTGTTCGCTCTAACAAACTTCTAAAACACAGGTGTCGTGTGTGTGTGTGTCTACCTCGCGCCCGAGTCTACCTCACGCTGCGAAGAAATCCGTTACATGGTTTAACTTAAGTAAAGTGAATACCGGCTCGTGCGCCGCTCAGCAAGTAGGGTAGGATAAATGGAAACGACTGGTTTCTTAACACGACAATGCGCGCGGAGGTAGGTTTCATATTTCTTTCCACCAATCAGGTTACGTTGTCAGGTTATGATTGACGTTTTCGAGTAAACATTAGAGTGGGGTTCCGCGTTCGATACATCATTGTTACTTATATTTCCGCTTTTCACATCTGTTTACTTTTAATAACTCTCATAAAATTCGAAGTGGAGAAAATGAGAATATTGTAGGCGTGAATAACTTGTCAGATGGAAGCACAAATGAGTTGTGATTCTTGTTCTCGGGGTGTCGGCTCCCAATATTGACCAAACTATTGTGCGGCGAATATTTGATGATGTTTTCTTAACTTGGTTACAACAATAGGGCTCAAAGGACCTTTTGATTCTATGCTAACAGCCTTGAAAGGCTAAACAATGAGTCTTAAAAAGACAAAGTAATATAAAGAAAATTTGACATGTGTAAAATCGAACCAAACTGTTTATCTTTTGATATAATTGACAAGTTTTTTGAAATCGATTACATGCATTTCACCTGTTACCAAATTCGTGTGCCAATGGACCAGGTTTAGCGATAGAAAATCGTTTCACTTGAAATACCTTTAGGACGTTTTAACTGAAAACATAAATGTGCATAATTCACTTCATGAATGGTTAATAGTCTTGAAGCAATCTACCAGCAATTCTGCTTTAAGTTGGGTTAAAGAAGTTAAGAATTTCACTGAGTCCGTACTATAAAAGTTATGTATCATGGATTTATTGTTACAAATGCGAGAAATATTTGTCGGTCCAAAACGAATTTAAGGTGTTTTTTTAAATTAAATGCTTACACTTTTTCTCATCCCATACAGTTTCGAAAATATGTCTCTATACAGATACTCCGAAGGAAAAGTAAATAAGCTAAAAGATACAAAAATGAGACTAGCAAACGAGACTGACAGCAAGCTGACATTGAAAAATTTGAGACAAATGAAAGACTCGTAATCAGTTTCAACTTATTGCCTTGTCAAATGGGATTTCTGATTATATAAACATCCAGAATTTATCTGTCAAGTATTACCAAAGGCATTTGTAAATTTAAAATCTTCTCTCTTTCCTTGTCTACCTGTTCCTAACGCATTTTTCAGTCTCCCGAAATATTAAACTACTTTAAAATTTTGTGTGTTAGTGAAAGATCTAAGCATATTGAAGATGAATCAAAAAATTAGTTTATGAATGGTCGTCGTAAGCTAGGTGAGCGAAATTAGCGAATGAAAAAGCGTATGGTTGGCAAATTCTAACACCGTTCAAGGCAGACGCAACAAAATCGTAGAAAAGAAAGTTAGTTCTTTTAGAAATACTTGCTTGCCGTCTGCTTTTAATCTTAATAATTTCAACTTTTCACGGATCTAAGAGCTTTTTAAGCCGTGGATGAAAGAGGTGGAAAATTTTTAACATAAGACGTTAGAAAGTGAGATGAAAACGGAGAAGAAACGGCTATTCATTGACAATGCCCACTGGCACGACGATCGATTCTACATTTGATAAATACTAAAATAATACTTCTGCTAATTTTTCAAAACTAAAAGAAGATTCTTGCTGCATCTTAGTCTTTCAGAAAACAGATATACACTTGGTTAATATAACTCTTAGCTTTTAAATGAATCAGAAATCGTTTAAAGCAAAAAACAACTAACTGAAAGGAATTTTAAATTATTCGTTAAACATCCTTTTATGTTTATGTTTTAAGATATCCCATACCGCTAATAGATAAGAAAAAAATAAAGTACGATTTGGTTTCAAATAATCGAATCTTAAAACACAAAGCGCTGGTTGTAATTAAGTAGTTAGAAGAACACTGTTTAAGTCTGTTTAACTGCTCCATGCAAAATTACTGCAGCCAAACACTTTGCACTAAACATTGTATACATGTTTCGATTTAGTTGTTATACTTCCGAAATGAAAAATAGGATGCAGGTGGAGTTCGGTCAAATGCGCGCAAAATGTCTCATTTTTTCTTATCGAGCTACGGAAAGAGTGATAATTCCCTCTTTACCGGATTCCTATCTATAAAGAACATGCACACAGCAACTGCGCGAGTTAATACCCAGTAAACGCCGGACTGAATTAAAGTTTATTTTCAATAGGATTTTGTGGCGTATTTTAAGCTCACAGACGCTTTCAGACGTTTGTTGATTAACACATTGGTTTAGGGAACGGCGGAAGATCTTAGAAAAGCTAAAGAACATTTGATCTTTGAATTAAATTCGATTAGATCTTTAAAAGGATTCTTTTGACTAGGTCTAAGTATGCGAAAAATCGAGTGGAGGAAATCGCTGTGCATACTTAAATATACATTAAAAATAAAATAAATCAAAATATACAAAGTATTTCATTTGCGTTCATAGTGTTTGACAAACTCTATTTTCCAAGATTTGAGCATTTCTTAAAAGCAATCGAAGTTATTCCAAGCTATAAGTTAAAACAACGACACTTTTAAGTTACCTGAAAAGTATCTTGAAACATGTGCACTGGTGAAACTACAGATAATTCAAGTTGATGAGGAATGACGTCTACGTAGCTTAGCTCGTTGCGTTGAATACTTGCCCGCACCTAAAGCTAAATATCTTGCGATGGTTGCAGCTGTGTATTTTTAGGAGTGGAACCCTCCTGAAACAGAGTCTTTATTTAAATATTGCATAGTAATTTCCATATGTTTTAGTCACTGGAACAGGTGAAACTGAACCTCTGGTCCGGAGTGCTGTGCCCATTTCCGTCAGCAACGCTTTAAAAACTAAGAAGATCCGCGGAACATTCACCCTGTTTCCGATTTTTGCGGAGAGCAAATTGCAGTCTGATAAGGAAATTGTTCTTCGAGTTACAAGTGTACTTGACTCGCAATCCAAAACAAAATAAGCTCACACGTGTCCCATCAAACATATGTCATTGTTGCTTCCGATCGAGAGAACTTACTCTATTCAAATTCAAATCCCAGCACAATGCATCTTATTCGTTTGTTGAAAGAGAATAGGAGCCCCTCTTACAAGGTTAAGTTCTCTTAAACGGGCCATTGTCATTAAGAGCTAAGAGCCACCCAACAAGATCTTGCTCCAAAGAGCAGAATTAAATGGAGTCTATTGAATGTGGTTGTTTGAAACAAAGATTCCTGAAGTTTCCTTATCTCGATCAATACAATACAAAAAACTTTTTTTAATACATTTTGTTTGAATAATTATGTGTGAAATGGAAAGTAACACCCTGACAAGCACTTCACAAAAGTACGAAGTAATCTCAGAGCGCATGCGTTTTTGTTTTTGAGATTATTAAAGTGTACCTCTGACAGATCAAACCTTTCAAATTGGTAGACGCAAAAGCAAACATCTAACCGCAATAATTCACTGTGACTCATATTTATTCTTAAAATTTAACCATTGCACTTCGGTTGGGGGCGTCTTCGGTCCCTTACGGCGTCAGCACGCTGTCTTTCTTGCATGTTTCTTTTGGTGCATAGCCGGTTAAGTGATTGGAAAGATAACAACAATGATACCGAATTGAACTACAAATGACGCATTGTTGGGACCTATATTGACACAACTTATTGTCTGAGAAACATTCTTAATTTCTTAGCCGCTCCATACACTCAGCGGAATCTACGACTTGACTTGATCTTTAATCACTCGGTATGAAGGAGATAATTAACCCGATTAATACATTTGCTCTGGTGGGCTGGCTCTTCGTATTAACTCTAAAATGATATAAGCCTTACGTATTTTTTCTTGTGATTTGCAAGGTGTTTAAACAAAAGCTTCGATTTCTTTGTTGCGCTTCCCTGCTTACCCTAAGGGTGTCGCGTGGCGGCACGTGCCAGCTTCTGAAAAAATAACACTATCATGGGTTCCCGATGGATAAGAAAAACTCCAAGGGCACTAAATGGGTTTACCGCAATATATCGAAGTGTGACAAGATTTCGTTTAGAATTGAAAGAAAGTTTCGGGTTTTCAGTTACTTTTGCTTTGTCATTCCTCTTGTAATTAAAAGTAAACATATAGTTCGCAAAACCATCATTTGGTCTACTCAAGTCAAGAATATCACTTTGTCTATTCTGTAAGAACTACGGAAAGTGTCCCTCTAGAAAAAGAGAAAAAGAAAAAAAGAAAATAACAATCTTATAAGGTGTTTTTTTTTGGGCGGCAAAATCGAGGCAGGAGTAAAAACTACGTACTGAAAATTTATGAATGAGCTGTCAAAACCGTGTCATTGCTATGAAGTAAATCCCGAAAAAAAATTAGCTTCCCCGTTAATTAATAAATTATACGCTCTTAATTAGCTTCTCTCGACGTGCCAAGTTGGGATAAATTTCTCAACAGTGGAAATAGAAAACACATATTTCCACCTGCATTTGTCTCGTAAACAAATATGAGATTTAATACTGACAGCATATACATTACCGCATATATAGAAGTCGACAAACGAGAATGCAGGTTTTGTTATGTATTAAATGTTGCGGTAGATTTCGTAGTTTCTTGAACTGAAATTGTTTAACGCCACAAAGAAAATGATACCAGAAATATGATGTTCCCCTTGAACCGATTTTGTTTACGTTTCGCAGAAAGTAATAAAAAATTAATAATCAAGTCAAAAATGATAAAGAAAACATTTCGTTTCATTTCCGAGTACTAAGACTAAAAAACGTCATTGTGAAAAGCAGCTCTTTACATTACCAGCTGTTCCAGTCGCTTGAATTGCAAGAAACCAAACAGTATTAGAGCCATAAAGAGATTAAATCGGTAGAAACTTTCTTCGCAAATGTTTCGCATATAGCAAAGTTCTTTTCTTTTTTTGCCATATGAACGTTTTAGACAGTTTAGACGGAGGGCTAATTCAAAATTCATATTATCAAAGCGATGTTACAAAATTAGCCTGATTATCCAAGAAACCATGTTATTATCAAGAGGTTTTCGTATTGAATAATTTATGTAATGTTATTATTTTTTCTCGTGTTTTAATTTACCAAATCGAATTTTTGTAGGGTTGATGAATTGTTAAAAAAGTATTGACGAGCTTTAGTATGGTCAAAACAAACATGGAACACTGAGATTACATTCAGAAAAACTGAAAAATAACTTGAAAGATTTTTGATCGGTGTTTGATACAACAGATTAGAAGAAATTGTCCTTTGCCTTCTGGTTTGTTAAATATTCACTGTTCAAGGTTCGGGTTAAATAGTTTATACTTCACATGAGAAGCTTGCAAGATTTAACAATATTTTAAGGACGCTAAATCAGAACACTGAAAATTTAATTAAAGGAACGTTGTTTTCATTCTTCATTTAACACTTTGATACAAATCCTTAACACTTAACCGGACTTAACAAGAAATCAAGGTGCATATGAAATTAAGTTGCATTGGGACTAGATAACACGCCAATAAAAAAAAGCGGTTTAGATTTACGAGAACTTTTATAAGAGAAAAGCAAATATCGCCACATTTTCAATGTACTTCTCTGGCATGGATGTTTATAAGGTATTGAGGAATTCATCCCTTCGCGACTACTGAGTACTGAGTATCTTAAAGAAATTTAGTTACATAGAGACAAATGTAATGTTTCTCGCAGAGGAAGCAGTGTAAATTAAATTGTGGCAAATTGTGAGTGCTGAGAAACTTAACAAATCCTTGTGAATCTCTTGAAAGTACTAGAATGAAAAGCGATTTTTAAATCAGGAATCCAAAAAAATGTTTTTTATTCCGGCGAGGATTCCTGGTTTATTCCACTCACTTTCTTCTAAAACTTGCAGTGATTCCAGAAAGAGATTTGTAAAGTTAATTACTTCTTAGCATGAACTTGCTTTATAATACAATTTACAATTGAGCTCATTTCATACTAGTGATGCGCAGTGTATACGTTGTGGGTCAAATGTATCCTTGGTTTAAATTTTATCTCCCTTTCTTTCAAACTCATTATCAGACATATAAGGGAACCTATAATAAATCAGCCCTAAACACTGCCCTAAATTAATTGCCGTAGTGCCAGCCTTACATTCAGTTTTGTTTCCTGGGGAGCAGGGGGGGGGGGTATGGAGGAATTTAGGCCTAGCACGATAACATATGGCTGATCCCCCATTCAAATATTATTTTACCGAGTCATCCCTCCTCATAGCTCTTGATAATTTTCGTGATCTCCTCCCCCCCCTCCCCCCCCCCAAAAAAATCGTTTTATTTTATAAAAAAAATCGTGTATATTTTCTGTCAGTTTTTGCCCACAAAAAAATCATCATCAACGTTAAGAAGAAAGGGACCGCGGAGGGTGGGAAAAGTAAGATCCCTTCAGTTCCATCCTTTGCAACATACTTTCCTTTACGGCGTCACTTAGAAGTCGTCCTGAAATAGATTCTCGACCGTAAAATAATGGCGTAATGAAATTAATACAGTCATTATTTCATCTTTCTACACATCTTCTGTTTCTATCCAAGCAAAATTAAATAGCCATCTTTGAGTTCCCAAAACTCTCACTTACAAAACTGGGATGAGTGCAAAACCTTTCTTGCGAAGATAAGATATGATTTATTTGCTTAAGAATAAACATCAATAGCGTGACACTAAGCCTCGCTTTGAAACAGAGGATTGGAGCAACTCGGAAATGGCCTACTTTCTTTTAGACCGATGTTTCTCCAAATGTTTAGTTTTGTTAGACTCGGAGATATGGCTTTGTTACGGAATAAATCAAATACTGCTCTTCTTGCCATCTTGTATAAGCGCTGCTTATTGTCAGCAAATCTTAAGTAGTACAGTTATGATTTACAGCAAGTACAAAGAACAGAAACATGAATGAAGGATCTGACGACGTAGACGACGGACTGGCAAGACCCTGGCAAGGACTGAAAAAGGGAAAGAATGTTTAGAAAACGTCTTTTGCAAAATTAAACAGCGCTATGTACTAACTTAAACGAATCGCTCGACGACGTCGAACAAGGCAGGATTCAGCGATAAAGTTGGAAGCTTTTTCACCACCGTTGACATGATTTAGCGCACTACGGAATATGCGAAGAACTTTAGAGACAACATGGGACTACACACGGGCGTGACTTAGACATTGCATGCAATAAATATCTTCCATAAAGTATATGTATCTGGGCCTCTTCTCGGAAGAGAGCCGTCAGTCTTTGCATTTCGGGAGGTACGACTGTATTAGTATAGATGCATTTTTAGCCATGTCGGGCCCCCTCAAATGTCAACTTTCTTTCTGGGGGAGCATACCCCCGGATCCCAAATTAGACCCCCACTCTCAACCCTGCTACGCGGTCTGTGACTCAGTACACTGGCCTCAAGCATATCGGATGTTGCACCCCACCCTTGGAAACACTTACAATATGGATAGCCTGTCCTATGTCAGTAGTTCCAAAATCATGACCTAGCCTTAAGAATAGGCGCTACCGTAAACTGCCGCTTATAAGCCCCCCCTCCGGTTATAGGCCCACCTACATGCAAACAAAAAAATACATCCGATTATAAGTCCATCCGGATATAAGCCCCCCTCCGGTTTTTGTTTTTGTTTTGAAATTTAACTGAATTCGGTTTATTGCTGCCTTTTTAAGGCTTCAATAAATTGTAAGAGTAATAAATTTAAATCATACGTCGATCAACAGCGCTGTTGCTCATTCCGAAACGTTTTTTTCGTCCGCTTATATAAGCCCATCCGGATATAAGCCCCCCCCGTTTATAAGCCCACCCAAAACCCCTTACGAACTTGTGTAAGCCCAGGGCTTATAAGCGGCAGTTTACGGTATTTGTTCCAAAAAGGCAAGCACGAGGCAAGCGAAGGGCCTTCCCCTGTGGCGTTTGTCTCAAGCCCGTCACTCAGCTCCTCCTTTTGCTCACCTGAAAAACACGAGCGAACAATTATTATGTCTGTTCTGCAGGCTAATAATGACCGCACTAGGCAGCAAAAACTCTTAGAGGTACTTTGGGGTAGGATACTGTCCACAGATGGAGAAGTTGGAACTTCCACCATTAACTCTGGGAGTCAGTGCAAGGGTTGAGAAGATAACTCAATTTTCAAAAGGAATCAACTTCTTAGACTTTGTATTAATAGACAGAAACTGCCAATAAAAAATCATTGATGTGGCGGGTGAACGTGCCACAAAAATGTGATTGTAGAATGTTTCATTAATAGCCTATGATGCATTGAAGTAGCTCGTACATGATATTCCAGACACAGTATATAAACAACAACAACAAAAAGAGCTTTTAAGTGATTGATCTATTTTAATATACTTCTTGTGAGTTGTGGAATGACCAGTTCACGGTCTTATTCAATTACATTTTAATTAGTATCCAATCACTTGGTGAAACATCCTTTTTTAACCATTCCCTCCTTCACAGTGGTATAATTTGCACACTTTGTGTATTACTCACAGAATTATTTGGTCAAGCCTGACATTTTTAAATACCCTAAAAAAAATTTGTTTCACACATAAAATGCAGTGTTGAACTTCTTTTTACTTTGTCCTGGTACATTTTCTTGACCATATGGGCACTGTAAAGAGAAAGAAAAAAAATTAAAAAGCCAAATAAAAAATTATCATCTTGGGCAGGGACAGTTCCATTCTCTCTCAGCCTAGAAAAATGTAATAAAGATGGGCTAGCACAGAAACTACTGGTTTTGCAGGTCAATATATAGTGCTATGGTTCTACTTTTACTAAGAGGACTAAAGGTTAGAAGAAACGTTTATGATCCTACTAGTTTTTCTGATCAATTTTATTTTCCTGAAAGAAAACCAAAACATAAGACTATTCTAAGATAGTAGCAACTCACATGCCGACAGCCATTTCCACAGCAAGCCCTGCGTTTTCTAAGAAATTCTTCTGTGAAGACCATGTATCCGGTAACAGGATCAGTATAAGTATTTTCCCCCTTCTGCAACAAAAAAAATTGAAAAAAGTTAAGTTGTGAAAAATATTGCTAGTGACAACTGGGTCTTCCAATAAAGATTTCTAAATTTCACTTTGTAAAATTAAAAAACAGTAAAACTGTCAAAGCTCTGCTATTAAAGTTCCACTTGATTCATGCAGCAAATGAGTTTGTCTACTCCTGTAAAGTTAACCTTCCCTGCATAACATGAATTGGCATGTCCTGTAATGGTTAATATCTGTGGTCCAGTTTTTACTGAGATGGACAGAGGCACCTAGAGCCGAAGACAACCTTTTGAGCCTGCTGGTTTTGAAAAAAGCTGAAAGGGTGTTCCAGAACACCATATCATGCTGCACAACAAACAGAAAGAACAAGTATTGGGAGCACTCTTGTGGGATCTAGGACTTCAATCATTGATAAAGAGAAAAGTATATTATTTTCATCCACCTTTTCCACTCTTATTACTCCCTCACTCACTCTTACAACAGTCTTGGATGTTTAGTGAGCATAATATGAACAAATTTCTTGATTTCAAGACAAATCCTTCTCATCATAGTCTCCTTCACAGCCTTTTTAGGGTCGTCACACAATGCCTCTCCCAACGGGAAGGAGCATTGCACAGGGAGGAGTGTTGCGTGACAAACCTAAAAACGGTTGCAAAGGAGACTATTCTCATTCGTACCAAACCAAATGTTGCCATTTGCATGTGCACACAAATGGCACTCATCCAGCTCATACACGATGCACTCGTAAACTGTCTTATGCTTAAATCAAAATAAATATCGAATAGTATAATGCATGTATTTCACTATAAATAAAAATATTGCATTGAATTACGAAATCTAGAAAAAAATGTGCATGAGACATTCCTGTTTATCTCAAAATATGTTCAGTGTCTCATACTGATATTCTGTGTTCACCAAGATGTACCTTTGCCATGGTTACAGCAATGACATCGTAATCACTCTTAAATTACCTATTCTTAATATGTGTCATTTAAGACACGTGTTTAAGAGTGGGACACTCTTTCAAGCCACATAAAAGAGTCAATGCCCACTTATCAGTAGTGGCTTACCACTGCTTACCAAGCATGCAGTTTTATGCGCAAAATATATATTCTTCTCATTTTCAGATAACTTATTCCATTGTAATTCTTCTCTTGCTTTGTGGTCTTGTGATTCTTCAGACACCTTTGTATGAGAGGATATCGTTCTTTTGATAGACACCTCGTTACAAGAGCAGAGACCAGCACCGTTCTGTGTCTTCTTGCAGCATTCCAGCTCTTCATCGCTGGTACCTGTTAATACGAGTCCTTGCGATGACATAGAGGCGATACAATGTCGGACGTTGGAAATCGACGACGTAACAGACTTAATGAGAGAGATGTAACGTCTAAGCATAAGTCAATACTTGTCAAAACGTTGTTTTTATAAAAACATCGCTCTTTGATCAGCTGGACTAATGACAGTGACGCTGTACACAACGCACGTGGACAACCAGAGTCCAACCAGAGTTGATAATAACTTGACCGAACAAGTTTTGAAGTAAAAAATCGATGGCAATCCTATAGCTAAAGCAACATTTGTTTAGAACGTTTCTTTTCCAACTGTTGCCTCTCTTTTCTGGATACCCAGCGCGATCGTAAAAACGGAAACTGAAAAAGAAAATTCAATTGATTTCGCAATTTTGACCGCTGTTGAGTGGCTCCTAAGCTTGACTCATCCCCAGTACTCTGTGACAATAATCGCGTGACCCCTAGATTCTGTGCTCTTTGAAGCTCAAAAAGCTGTAGGCAGGGTCAGTGAGAATGGCAGATTTTTCTTCACTAAAGGTTGGTCTTTCAGGAGCTGTCATTTTTAAATCGGAAAATAACAAAACTTTTCAAGAAGAGATTGAAGGAACGTGGAATGCTGTAATCCGAAAGCGCCAGCCCTGTGCTTTCGTGAGAGTGGCCTCCGTGAAAGATGTGGTCAACACTGTCAAGTTTTGTGTACACAACAAGGTAAGTCACGCAATACAGAACTCTTAACTTCTGGGCACTGGAAACCTGCAAATTCAGGTCGAACAAACCGGGAGATTTCAGTATAATACCAGCAGACTGGCCTACACAATTATGATAGATAACTCCATTTAGCATTTTCCTGCCCTCAGGCAAAGAAATATGGAAAGGTATCGACAATTTGCTACATTCTTGATCACACAATAGACCTATTCGGTTAACTCAATGTTGTACCCAATTCAAACCCTTTGGGAATAGAACGTTTTGTTTCAGGAATTTCCATATCATTTAAATGTGAATGCCACATTATAATGCAAATGCAATACACAAAGAATCTTATCCCCGGGAGATTTGAATTGGGTACAACATTGAGTTAGCCGAATAGGTCTATCAAACGAAACATTTTATCATTTTATAACTAATCGACTCGCGATTTTCTCTACCTTGCAATTTTGTGCTTAATGGTAAGATTGTGCAGCATTCGAAAACCGTGAGTATTAAGGAAAAACGATGCGAATTCAGAGGTGAATTTATGCTTTTTTAAAAATCCTACTGGGCTTTTATTATAAAAGGTAAATGGTTTAATTCCTTTGAATTATTCATTGAATAAATGTTATTCCCTGCTGAACTAAAAAAGGGGATCTTGTGTCTCATAGGGGTTGTCGACTTACATATCGGTCGAGTGTCGGTTAATACTTTTGAAGGCATCTCAGAAAGCACATTTGACTGGGTGGGAGCACATGATTTGTGCATAAATGCAGTACAAAAGTGGCTTCCAAGACATGGCTCCCAATTTGAATAAGTGTCACACTTGATTTGCCGTGTCAAAAACAATTTAGTAATAATGCCGGCAGAATTTCGAGCAAAATAAGCGATTTTTGAGGCGAGTATTCTGCATTCTGCATTCTGCTTTCTAAATAAAAAACAAATGGAAAATACCTTGTGATTAATTTGATTATTTAATAGCTACAGTGAATACCTAATTAGTTTTTAGGGGTTAGGCCTGGGTTCCCTTTCTATATTTGTGAAAATAAATACGGCCCAAAGGGCGGAAAATTTTTTTGGATACCGAGCAGAATTCGAGCGGAATAAGGGTGTCCGAGCAAAATTTTGTGCAGAGTTAGCGAAGGGCCGAAAATTTTTTTCGGACATCAAGCAGAATTCGAGCAGAATAAGGGTGTCCGAGCAGAATTTGAGCAGAATAAGCGAGAATTTATCCAAGCCTATTGCATTTGCTTGCAAAACAAAAGAAGAAGTGGACATGCATCAACTAAATCACCCAGGGCCTTATTTCACGCACCCTTTCAATTTTTATGTTTCGTCACAGTCAGTGGCAGCTAATGAATATGAAAAGGTTTCTTTAAGTTGATGTTGTGTATAAAAAGAGCTTGACTTTAAAATCTTACCCAAAACAAATGGGTTTATTTAGTAATCCCTATTATAACCGTGCAACTGTAAATGAATGCTAGTGTCTTAATTCCTTTTCAGCTTGAGATGTGTGTTTGTGCTGCAAAGAACAGTGACTTTGCATTGGCCGATAATGCTGTGGTGATAGATCTGTCAGATCTGAATATACCAGTCATGAATTACGAATAGGTTTTCAGTGTAAGGGTTCGTGTAAGGGCCCTTACACCCTTACAGCAGTTTCAGATTATAATGCATGGTATAATGAGACGCTTAACTCTTTTTTTTTTATCAACGCAACAACGATCAAAACAAAATGGTGAATGGAACCCCTTTGTAGGGGGAACCCAGGCTTTTTCAAGGCTCTTGCCTGTTGTCATGGCAACAGCATTTTTTTACAGCCCTTACACCCTTACAGCCCTTACAGCCCTTACAGCCCTTACAGCCCTTACACCCTTACAGCCCTTACAGCCCTTACAGCCCTTACAGCCCTTACAGCCCTTACAGCCCTTACAGCCCTTACACCCTTACAGCCCTTGCAGCCCTTACACCCTTACACCCTTACAGCCCTTACGCCCTTACAGCCCTTACACCCTTACAGCCCTTACAGCCCTTACGCCCTTACAGCCCTTGCAGCCCTTACAGCCCTTACAGCCGTTACAGCCGTTACAGCCTTACAGCCCTAACACCCTTACAGCCCTTACACCCTTACAGCCCTTACAGCCCTTACGCCCTTACAGCCCTTACGCCCTTACAGCCCTTACACCCTTACAGCCCTTACAGCCCTTACGCCCTTACAGCCCTTACACCCTTACAGCCCTTACAGCCCTTACGCCCTTACAGCCCTTACACCCTTACAGCCCTTACAGCCGTTACAGCCGTTACAGCCTTACAGCCCTAACACCCTTACAGCCCTTACACCCTTACAGCCCTTACAGCCCTTACAGCCTAGCATACCTTACAGCCCAGCAAACCTTATATCCTTTCAGACTGTTGAGATAGGACGGTGGTTGTGAAAGATGTTAGCACTGAAAAATTGCGTTGCAATGTTGGAGAATGTTGTAACAATTCGAAATAATGTCGCAGCAATATTGCAATGCTGCGTTGTGCTAAAAATCGTCGTTGCGAATCGGCTCGTGTAACATCACCTTAAGGTCTTAAGTATAGCCCCGTTTCGTGTTTCTATGGCGAGTTTGTGGTTGCTTATAAAAATCGCAATTTTTTGTTAACCTTATTCTTTGGCGGCTCATTTTGTTATTATGGTCAGCATCTCTTCTAAGTATGTCGTTATTCATTTCACTCATCCATAGTTGTAATTCTATATCCTTAATTAAACCTTTGCCTTGTTATGCCTACGATTAATGTTGAGTCTAATGTGCTTTTATCCAAACTTCTCCTAGTCGTATATATCAGATCTGTCTTAATGTGCTTCTGATTTTTTTTGCTCCAGAAAGCTTTATTTTCATTCCATTTTATATCATCGTTTGTTATTTGCGATAATTTATTTTCTTTCTTTATCAGAGATAGCCAGAACTTTAACTTCCTACACTGCGCGTCAATTTTCATTAGGAACCTTCTCGTCTCCACCCTGCACACATTATTACAGTATGTATTTACACCCGGTAGCCATTTTAAGAATTTGTTCTGTACTAGTTTTGCGGGATCCTTATCTATTTTTCCGTCGCAGTCAATGCCCCATATTTCGCTTCCATAGAAAAGTTTCGGGGATACAAGTGTGTCAACTTATAACTTTATCGTTAATTTACATTTGTAATATAGTTTTCTGTATAGTGGTCTCCCATCTCTTTTCGCAACTTATACAGAGCATTGATTGCAATTTTTTCCTGCTCCTGGCTAGCGAGATTAAAATTTCCGTATTGGCTCAATATTTGTCCGAGGTATTTGTATGATTTGAAGTTTTCTAATTTATTTGCGCCATATGTTAATATGAATAGCTGTTTAAGAATTTGAGTGCTACAGTTATTAAAAATGCGATAACTTTTGTTTTATCCAAGTTGGCATCTAAATCAGCAAAGTCACAGAATGATTCCAGTTTACTCAAAATTTTTGCCGGACTTTGCTGATCTAGAAAACATTTCATTGTGGGTCGTCATCCAGAATGTAAGAGCAAGAGAGAATAGATCATTTTCTCTTGGTAAGAGGTAATTTATAGATTTTTCTCCTTGAGTTATGTCCTCTGAACTCGCAGTAGAACTCAGCAGTTTGGGTAGATCACTTAGATAAAAGCAAAAGAGGATAAAGAGGACAGAGAAGGCATCCCCATACATACCCTATTCCATAGGTAATTCGTCTCGACTTATTTTTAAGACCACAGATCCCACGGGGGATTAGACAACAGCCAATCACATGGCGCGAATGTGCTCCGCATGGATACCCACGCTCAGAGCCACGCGTCCTTCACGAATTGACGCAGAACAAAATGGCGGAAGACGCGGAGAGCGATATTGCTATTTGTTTTGTCGACGAAAACGACTACAGAGAGATTTCTGCTAAAGCTGTGTCAGCGAAACAGAAATTAAAAAAGAATCGCCCTTCCTCTCCTGTATAGAGCTAACAGTACAGCAGGGAAATCTTTAACACACTGAATATTCTCTCAGGATCATTTATAATTTACAGTTTGAAAACAACAATTTCTGGTTGGATATTTATTCTTTTATGAGTCTTTATTATTCAACAAAAATAACACTTGGCCTCCCTACTTGCTTTATTGCACAAACGACCGGTTTTAATAGACCGGCGAAATTTCTCATTTTATTAATTAAAAGCGCTGAGGTTACGACAACTTAGAGTTAAACTGACTTCACGGGTTGTCAAAGAGTCTAGCGATTCCCTTTTCCCAGGTGAGCGCCGACTCATTTCGCTTCAATATTCACAAATGCTCTCGATCTCTTTACGCTTTCATATTGCCTTTCGCCCGACATGTTTTGCACGGCGTTTAGTCATGCGAAACCTCCACGAAACATCCACGCAGCGCGCGAGGTAACTTTACCCCGATTCTAAAAATAACTCGAGACGAATTACCTATGGAATAGTGTGTGTATGGGGATGCCTTCTCTGTCCCCTTTATCCTCTCTTGATAAAAGTTAAAGATAATGGGTGATAACATGCGACCTTCCTTTACCCCGGAGTGGTAAGAAAAGAATTGTCAATTTTGACTGCCAATTTATCGTTCGAGTATAGAAATCAATACTTCTAAGAAACGCCCTTATACGTTTTTAAACTAAAAGATGCAATCAACTGTGCCATGCATTTGTCAGAAGCCGCCTTGTTCTGCTTTTAAAATTCCTTTTTCGATCATGTAGGAGTACAATCTGTTATTAACGAGTATCCTGATAGTTTTCTAGTTTAGATTGATCATGTTTTTTGTACTGGGTACAGTGAGGCCAAAACTCGATCCAGCGAATAGGGTTTTTGCCAGCATTGAAGATGCCATTGAATATCCCGTGCGAATTTGATGTCAAGTCTAAGAAGCCTGAATAAATTACTAAATACAAGGGCTTTAAGTGCAGCTGAAAAATGGATGGTTAGAAGGTACTGGAGTTGTTGGCTTTATTTCTCCCCCATACTGGAACCCTGCGACGCTGAAAACTCTTGAGAGTTTTTCTTAGATGTTATATTTTTTTTTTTTTTTAAGATAGGTTTCGAAAAGAGAGGGACAAATACAAAGTAAGTGTGATGAATAGAAGCTCTTTAATCTTGCCCCGCATTTAGCATAAAGTTGTTCTTCTTGTATTGCGAACTGTATATTCACTGGTGGGTTTCTCATTACTCAGTTTCTTGGAACTGAAGCTTTGGGCAAGATACTCTTTCAGATTGGAGATAGTCCGTGGGCAGTTTTTCTCTATTTGTGAGTCAGCTTTCACAAATGTGTTAGCTAGCGTTGCATTTTCAGGCTAAATTTGACCAGCTATTTGTGCGGCAAGTTCTACGGTCACGATTGACTTCAAACTTGCAGATATATATAACTGACAAAAGAGCTCTGAAGCTTATTTGCTGAAGTTAAAGAAAAATCTGTCTTAGGGTTTGGAAGTTATTTTCATTTTTTGTAAAAATGCGGTTTTAAACATATATCTCAAAGGCTATACCTACAGGAAAATAGATCACATTTTCTTAAAGTTTAACTATTCTTTATTAAGGAAGCCAGAAATCATAGAAATCGGTTCAGCCGTTACTGCCGAAAAACGCGATTCAAAAACGTAACCAACACGCATATAAACTAAGGTTCAGGCCACCCTAAAAAGTTCTCGAAGTGTGATGCCGACGAGTGTCGCGAGAGACCCCGGAAACCGCTATTTCTCTTTCATCATGGCTTGATCTTTGAAATTAAATTATTAATGAAAAAATAAACAAATAACTTCAGAAACAAATGTATGCACCTTGAACGTTGAGACCTAAATAATCTTTTAAAGTTCAGCTAACTCTATCTTTGTTAGCTCTCTTCTCTCACCCCTCTTCGAAAGGCTTGAATCTAGGCGGAGAAGCCGAGCTGGCTCTTCCAACTAGTTTCAAAGTTTTGTCTGTATTCTTGTTATCGGAGTCAGTTGAACCGGAAGATATCTAAGGCAGTGGACATCGCTGTAGCAAACAAAAAAATCATGGATATCGCAAAATTTAACATACTGAGGTACCAGCCGGCCAAATACAATACATCAGCGTAGTTTCTCTTGTACATTCTCTGGGACATAAGCACAAACCTTACTACAAAATAACTTCGGAAACTGTAACGATAGAAACTACAGATCTTTTCTCCTTTATAGGCGATAGACTACAAGTTGGAACCGACATCGATTTTTAATCTTATATACCTCCCTTATAAAAGTATTTATTTATTATTTTCTCCCGTCCCCCATTCGCCGTCCGCCGTCAGTCTTTTTACAGAATCATGCATTTTTGGTGGCGACCCTACAGCATGAAATGATGGAATGCCCATAACACGGAATGGCGGAAAGGTGGAAAATGGCCCCAAATGCTAAAAAGACGAAATGTCTCCTTAATTTTGAAAACTAAAATAAAAATGACAAACAACATAGAATTTAAAAAATAATAATAATGGGATACATAAAACCTAGCTTATGAAATAGATGTGTAGTAACTTTCCATGGAATCGCTAAAAATCGCAGAAGGCGGAACACCTAAAAATATCAGTGTTTCACCTTGTTTGAAGGGTGGTCGCCACTTGCAGTAAAAAGGCGAAAAAAAAACAAAGACTGAACTGTTTAAAGTTTGGTATTGACTGAACGTTTTGGAATTTTACTAAAAAAAAAAATCCAAATGTTTGAAAATTACGAGATATGAACTTGCCAGAATAATTTTGTTGGTCTGATGCCCATTTGAAGGGAAAAAACTCGTCTACCCGGAGTAGTCAATCGATAAAAATCGGTATCGATAAAAATCGATAGCAATCAAGCGATTTTTATCTATTGATAACGGAAATCGGTGAAAATCGATAAACCAAATTGCTGTGTCAAATCGATATTATCGATTTTTCACGATTTTAACGATTTATAACGGTAAGTCCGACATTGTTGTTTTGTTTTTATTGGCATCAGTTAAATAGTACAGCTGAGAAAACACATCCACGAGTAACAACTGATCAACAAACATGAAAAGAAGAAATGTGGAAACTATTACAGACACAAGATTCTCTCTAAAAACCGCGACCCTTTTGTACATAATAACAGAAACGGTTCAGTTTTATTACATTCATAGTTCTCGCAGGCAAGTACCACGAGAAATACAACTATAGACAAATGATTTCCCAGCCAGAATTTCGCGCAGACATCCTCTAGAGTCGAAGAGATGCCCAAAATTCAGACTAAAAGATTTCTCTGGATAGCTTTTCACCGTTTTCCGTTAACAATCGATAAAATCACTTGATCGCTAACGAATTTTATCGATTTCGATTTTTATCTATTGGCTTCGCCTGGAAGTAACTACACGTTATTTTGAAAGAGCGGCAAATCTTAATCGTGAAAAACTGGAAAATGAAAAACCTGGCCAATGTTGGCCATCCGAAGAAGACTTTAAAGCGGGTTTTTAATAAAAGAGATAAGGTTTTTTAAACTTTTCTTTAAAAAGTGATAGTAAATTGTTTAATCCTTCGACTCTCAATATGAAATCAGTTTTCATCTTTGGATGAACAGAAGAACAGATGTATCTTCCGATAAAAATCGATGGAATCGGTAAAATCTAGATAAATCGATAAACGAAGCGAGTGTGTCATCGACTTCCACCGATTGATCGATACAATCGGTATCAATCAAATCAGATTTACCGATTTTTATCGATTTATCGATTGATAAATGGATACCAATTTTTATCGATCAAGTACTCCAGGCTATTTAAACAATTGAAACATATTTACCTCTAGACTACGAGTTGTCCCCCATTTTTTTACTTCAAGTTCAAATAAATGTGACTATTTCACCACTTTTATGATTGCTAACGCAAATTGAAATTTGAGACATTTGTCCAGATCCGAGACCAGATGTTAAAGAGGTCAACAGACCCCCTTCAGTTTCGTCTGGAAAAAACAGACCTTCACGACTATCACGTACGTTGTCGGATTTCAATACAGTTACACAGGGACTAACCTGACATCAGGCGTTATCTATTTATTTTTTTTTCTGCTTCTCTGCTTCAGAACAGATTACAGAGATAAAGGGAGGGGGGCATGATCACAGACTACATAGGGACCTAAATATTGAACTTTTAAAAAGGAAAATGTTGGATTTTTTTACAAAAAAAAAAACATACAAAAAAAAAACGGAGTTAGGAAAAGGCAGTCACTAGACATGTTGTGTGACAGAAAGCAACTTACTCCCCCGGGGTGGGTACTCCTGGGAATCCTTGGTGGGGGCCAAAAATGTCATTTTCCACACCCGTTTTTAGACCAGACCTCTAAAATCCACACCTGTTTTCAGACCTGGCCTGTAGGCAGAAATTATGTCATCATTACTTAGACTAGAGCGCAAACAAAAAAATTATTCAAATCCATTTAGAATTCGCATATTTCTCCGTCTTTCTTTCACATTTGGAATTGAAACGATAAATACGTTCATACACTCCCGTAGCTCCCTCGAAAACCATACCCGATCCCAGACAAAAATAAGCAAAATCTGTAACCGTTTTCAGATCAAAAGGCGCAAAAACCCTACCCGAAGGGGGGGCACATACCTATAAATATATAGCTTATATAAGGGAGTTCCCACTCCCCGGGATTACTCGCTTTAACGGAAAGAGACAGGAACTCAACACTCACATGTTTAACCTGTTACAACGACATTTACTTTTTTTACAGATTTTTTTATCGAACTTTATATATACACCAGTACTTTATATTCCGTCTTTAAGGATTTGGGGTTATATTCCACCATTCCGCCATTCCACCATTCCATGATTCCATTCTTACATCGTTCAATGTTGTTTTGGCGGAATTTTATCATCAGCTCTAGGGGGAGCTGGCAGCGAGGTCTGGAACCAAGTTTACATGATCGCTCCAGTTAAGAAATTCGGCCTAGTGAGACTGAGTACAAATTTTCCTTGAAAACAAATATGGCGGAGAATGCAGAAAGGACGATGAGTTTTTGCTCGGTTTTAAGTTTTCCCGCGTACAAATATCAAGACAAGGTTTCTATGAACTTTTTTAATGGACCTTTTGGACGTCAGAAGGCGTGATCTATGAACAGTTCATGGGTGACTTCACTTATCGTGATTCGTGATCTCGGCAAGTTCAGTTATTATTATTAAAGCTTCGTGAATTTTCGAGCGACCATCTTGCTCCATCTCTTATATTTTTCCCCTTATAGTGGTATTAAGACTCTCTTCCTTATCTTAAACATATGCTACGAGCACGATATATAGGTATGAGTCTTGCAACAATCCTACGTGAATGTTCATTAAACCACTGATTTTCTACTTCACTGTTCATAAGTTTGTTTGTACACCGGGAGGCACAACAAATGTTTATAGGCGTAAATACAGAATACAGGGCCAATTTAATAAAAACCAGGGTAAATGTTCCAATCACTTTGCTTCACATGTAAGCTATTTTTAATATCAGAAGGCTGGGAGGGGTTTAATGAACCTTCAAAACCTTCACTGGAATGTTATTGGAGTGATAATCAATAACTTTCCAAAAGCAATACTGTATTTAGTAGTTTTGTATTAGATAGTGACTTCGGTTTCAAGTATTTCCTTGAAATTGTTGGTACAAAAATTACCCTTTAGTTATGAATTATACTTGAAATGATTATAGTGGTTTAATGTAAGAACAAGAGGCTAATTCAGTTGCTAGTAAGGGTGAGTACATCAGGAAAGAGTATGTGTTGAGAAAATCCCTCAAAGGACCGAAGTACAAGAAACAGAAAAAAAAAACTGAATGTTTTGCAAAGTTTATAAGGAGAATCAGAAGAGGCTTGAAAAAATATACAACTTAAGTTTATTGTTTGTGTAAGTTATGAATCTGATTTACAACTAAATTATACAAGGTAAAATTGATTTTTTATCAACCACCAAAAGAAGTTATTGTCGGGCTTGAACCCAATCCTCTCAGCAGTTCTTTCTACGATACTAGCCTTGGCTTATTTGGCCTTGATGGGTATGTGCTGCTGATTTAGGGTGGTGACCATTTCACCCTTTAGAGTTTTGAACAAGGTGTCTGTTTGGGTTGTGAAGGTTGAAGAAGAACTCACTGTGGTCTATAGAGTACAGTATATTGGTACCACCATTTTCCCCCCAAGTTTTGCCATGTTTCAAAGTTTAAAAGCTACCTTACTTCTGTATGCTAATTAAAAAGGAAATGAATCAGGATTATAAAATAAGGTCTCTTGGCTTAAAAAGGGTAGGGAAATGCACAATGTGTCCTACTACCCATACTCTCTTTCAGTGTAAGCCCAGGAGGTGATCTCATATTTAATTCCCTTTTACCGCTTGCTGTAACAGCAACGTCAGTGAAGGTTTATGGTCTCTGAAAATATTTTTGCCAGCCCCAAAACAAGTTTCTAACTGCTATTGTTGACTGCAAATAATATTATCTTAATAATCATTTTACATTTTTTTTCCAAGGCATCCTATGGTGTTTTCAATATCCACTAGTACAAGGCAATTTTTAAGTTGAGAGGGTTTACTTTGATTTCATTAACAGTAAACTACATTTTAACACAGACACAAACTAACCTGGCAGGTTGATGTCCAAAGGTGTAAACCATTACATGCAACTATATGGCAAAAACTGATCACAGTGGCCAAAGGAAAAGCAAAAATAGAAATGTCATCATTTTTTTAATTTTATAAATTCCCTGCCTTTGAAGCATATTTAGCCAGATGTAGTCCTTGTCAAAACATGCAAACTTGAGCATTTATTTTCTGACCTTAGCTAATCTTTTTTAAACCATACTCTTGTTCCAGTGGGTAGTGTAGTTTTTGGAATAAAATATTTATAATTTCTCCTCTTTGTTTGCAACAAAACAAAACACAATTGAATGAGGACTCAAACTGAAGGCAGTGTAGTAACTGCTGTCACGAAAAGAGAATTCCAAACACACGAAACAATTACCCTTTCATTTGCCTATATTCATTTCTTAGAAACTATGGTAAAGTTTAAATTAAATCACACGAAGATAAGAACATAAGCATATCAAGAGTGAATGATCTCTTGGCAAAATTTATTTAGCTTCTAGTACATAACAAAATGCATGAACTACGAGATTTGACCATGACTCTCAATCATCCAACGCAACTCTGCCAGGATAAGTTCACAATCAAGGATGAGGAATTAAGAATCTCAAACATCATTTCTTAAAGGTGTAATAAAACCGTAAACAACTCTGACAACTCTTCTACTTGACCACGGCCACCGCGCTTTTTTTAATATCACGAAGGATTAATTTTCGGCCTTTCACTTGAAAATATAAACTCTCCTACATACGCATTGGAGGGTTGGCCCCTTGTTCTAGTCTTGTGGGTCTTCTAAACAGAAACACATGCAGCTTGAAAGCCTGTAGTGAGCCAAAAGGTCGGGCATCGAGGAACATGTACAATGACCGTTCACTAGTCTCGTTCTTAGCGTAGTAAACCGCATGTAATGACAAACGCAAGACCAGAAGAAAGGAAAACGTAAGCACATTGCTGCCAAAAAAATCGGTTACAGCAAAGAAAGCAGTGACCAACAGGACCAAAAACAAATTCACTTCGCACTGTCGAATCGCTGCGAAGACGAACTTCTTGATGTTGTTGTTGTTGTTCCTAACCCGGTTCGCGCATGCTTGCTACAGTTCTCGAATGATTGACAGATTTCTTAACTGGGGCGATCATGGAAAGTAGAAACGCGGCAGGATCAGAGGCCGTTGCCAGCCCCCCCTGATCAACTCTAACTCTCTCCGAATACTTGGGCCCAGGCTCCTTTTATGGGTGAGCGTCACCTTGTAAGGTTGTAAGGGCCCTTACACGAGCCCTTACACTGAAAACCTATTCGTAATTCGTGACTCATTTGGATCTGAATACTGTTACCGTGGACACACAACGTAAAGTACGTTCAAAATGATTTTTCCTTTCACTTAAAAAATTCAAAACTGCTACAAAAATCTTTAATCAGGTCACGTTATGGCTTCTATTGACAGTGACTCTATACAGCCTGTAAAAGCAAGTGGTTTTTTGTTTCAATCTGTCTTTTATTATTTATTATCCTTACATCCATCTATTGCTGTCTTGTATTTAAAATTTTTTTTTTAGTCAGTCTTTATTGTTAGTCCATTAACAAATAATAGACTAACTGGAAGGTTACCGGTAACTACTGGCTTCCCTTTTGTGCTATTTTTCTACTTCACACAGTAGAAAACAGGTCTCTGTTTTGCATAAGCAATTACATTAAAAGCTCAGCAGAGTCTCGCGCGCACAGTCATTGAAATGGTGAGTTCAAACCATTTACAATAATTATTTTGTTATTGTCTATAATTTTACTTAATGCATCTAACACATTTATTTGCCTTTTTCCTCAGTTGAACTGTATGACATACTGGTATAGTCTGATATTTAACTGTTAAAAACATAATTTGTTTCAGGTAGTTGTTGTTGGAGCAGGTGCCAGGCTAGCCGATGTTGATTCAAAAACAGTTGCTAGCTGCCTTGTTACACCTCTTGGTAGCTACTCCCAGCTGGGCGTGGCAGGATTTACTCTTTTGGGTGGGACTGGGTTCCTAAGCAGGTCTTATGGATGTGCTGCTGATAATGCTGTGGAGTTTGGTAAACCAGCAGTTTCTAAATTTGATTTTTGATGAAAATACCTTTAATAAATACAAGTTTAAAATTTTCTTCGAGAAATTTGTTTTATTTTATGTTGATGGGTACACTTTTCCTAGTAAATATGATGTATTTTCTGTTCATAATTCCTTTCCCACTTATAAGCTGGCTGAAGAAGGGCAGAGCTGGCAAGGGATGCAATGTAAAAAAAAACTCCTAACAATAGCTTAATAGTGATTCAGGGGAGACAGGGGAAGGTGGAAGAGTTCAACTTAACCGCTATATAAAGAAAAGATGCAACCAGTATTAAAGTCTTGCATGTCTGTTACAAAATGTAGAGAATAATCCAAGTAAAGAATGTTTGACGCTTATTTTCTACAGAAATAAATGTCAGCAGCTAGTTTTTTGATTATTTCCTTACTTTACAAATTCTTAGAGTTGGTTACAGCATCAGGAGACGTTATCAAGGCAAATAAGAAGGAAAATGCAGACCTGTTCTGGGGAATGAAAGGCTGTGGCTCTAACTTTGGGTAGGTTTTGAATAATGCACTCGTAGAAAATGATGTGAAGTGCACATTTATGTTATCTGCAAGTACATTGGAACTTCCAAACAACTGCTACCAGCTCTTTGTACACTGGTATTTAAGCCTCATGTAATGGCCCCTCTACAAGGAAGTATGCCAGTATTTACTGTCAGTGAACAGGAAAAGCCCTGTTGAAGGGAGTCTCAATAAGGTATGTATGTATGTAAATACACTATTAATACACTTCATAGTGTTTGGTCCTTAAAGATCATTAAACATGTAAAGTGATGATAAGTTTAAAGCATGGGAAAACCAGCTTCTCTCTTACCTGTACATAACGATAGTTCTTGTGGTAGTGCTATATCATGACTCAGGTTTACAAATAACATACCTTTTTAAACATAATTCTTTTTTTAATAACGGGGGAGTTCAGGTGTCATAGCATGTAGTCAGAACATTGGGCTCACAATGCGATTTTCTTGGTTCAATTCGTATCAGCCGAAGCTCTTAACCTCCTGGCCATGACTGTACTGAAATGGCCAAGATTATTTGCCTGCTGCCACTTGGTACTTCTTTCCTTCTGTTCCTTAACTTACAACAGATGATATCAAAAACTGGGAAAACTAGAGACCTCACTCATTCCCCTGTGACATGAACTTGAGTACAAATACTAAACGATGTTTCTACCCATTAGAGTGTTGACATCCATAACATTCCAGCTTCACGATATTCCTGACCAAGTCACTGGTGGATCGCTGTATTACTCCATTTCTCAAGCTCCAGGGGTATTCAAAGATATAAGAGACTTTATTCGTGAAAAGGCAGACAACAGGATTTCAGTCTATTTGATAGTGCATTTTGAAACTAGTGGGTAAGGGCCTAATTTTATTTTATACCCCGCTGCAGTACACTATACATTTATTATCTCATTAACTTCCTAGAGTCTCTAAAATCAAATTTAATTGGTCACACCTTGTTTAGGGTTTCATCAACAGAATTTGAAAAGGGTTTATATTTAAGCTTAATAGGGTGTTCTATTGTAGAGGTTTCATTTGAATGGTAACACAACTCAAGGGTGTTTCATTCACGTCTACTAAGAGATACCCCTTATACGGTATAAATTATAGTACTACCGATGCGACAGTACTGCTGAATAAGGTGTCATTTGAATAATGACTTCAAGATACAGACTCAAACGCTAGAAACACTTCTTACGCCCTTCTTACGTCTTTTTACTGTGGAAGCCGAGGCGAGGTTGAACACTGCTAACTCATTCAACTAGATGAATTGCGCCATGTGAAAATGCTACTGTAAAGAGTATTTCATTTGAAAATTCACACCATAGGATTTCATCCATGAACACAAAAATGTCAATAGAACCACCTCTTTTGTCGTCATAGTTCATATTTGACTCTGGAAGTTAAAATGACTTGCTGTTTCTCCGTTTTTTGTACGTGTTCCATTTTAGTACCTCTTTTGTTATTGTTTCTAGACCTCAAGCAATCTGTCGTTTTCTTTTTAACGGCCCAACGAAAGAAGGAAACGAGCTGTTATTAGAGTTGACTAATCGAACAAAACCTGTTGATAACAAAGTCAAGGCTCTACCTTTTGATCAGTTCCAGACAACTGGTGATTGGTTGGTTCCTAGAGGATGGCTTTACTATTCAGCAAAGGGGTCATGGGTAAAAGGTCTGAATGCGTTATTTGGTTGTGTTTATTTATATTTATTATTTAGCATCGTTTACATCATTCAGCATCTCAGTAAAGCTTCAAAATATTTACTAAGAATTCATTTTAAGAAGTACGTACTCTTAACCACAGGTTGACCAATTAGCTGGTTTTCAAGAAAATTCTGTCACTAGCTTGAAATTCATCCGATTACTTCGAGTCGTTTTCTCCTCTCGACAACGGTTACTGAGGGAGTAATAACGACTCCAAGTAGTCGGATGAAATTCAGGCTAATTCTGTCACCTGTTAACATGCAGAGCAGCAACGACGGCGACGGCTACATACGAAAACGTCACTTTTGAAATTTAAAAAGTGAATTTGCGCTGCCTCAAACTTTATCGCGCTTATTCCATCTCGTTCAATTCGTCAAATGTTGTCCAATTGTTTGGAGGTGAATTCTAAAGGACTGCGTATCCAAGTTCCAGAAAAGAAAAAGAAAGTTGTTGTCTTGTGTTGCCGTCCTCGACATGTACAAAACGTGAAATGAATGAAATTAGGCACTTTCACGTTATAGTCGTGCGACGACGGCCAAGAAATGTACAAATTAAAAAGCGTGATGCACGTGCAAAGTTGTTGCCTTACTAATGTAAACCTTTTGCTTTTTTGCCGTTCTCGTTGCAGTCGCCGTCGTCGTTGCTGCGAGCCGTGTGGGCGACTTTGTAACGTGGAAATCACCCTTCTCTCCAGTGAAAATAAATGAGGAGTCATTAAAATCGCTTAGAAGGAAAAGAAACTGGAGAAAGAAGTATAATTGACCAGGATCGCTAACCGGGAAACTTAGGCAAATCACCGTAGTCAAATCTTTATATAAAATGCCGGTACATGATGTCTATACTAAATAAAAGATACGCACCAAAGTCAATGGATATCCATTTCTGAAGCCCACAAGATCAAGATTCGGAGCTTGCTGATGCAGAATTTCTCTGAGAGAGGTCTTAGCCTTCCTTAATAGCCTGGAATCAATCCTGCTAGGCCTCTTTGCGGAAAATAAACGTAATTCTCTTACAACGAGGTTTAGATAAATCTGTCGAAATTTGCATCGCGTGTGTATCTCCGGTCCGCCATCGTGTCACTCGTGTGATCTCGGTTTGGCTATTCATATTTTTATATATATCTTGCTGGTGTCTTTCCTACCAGAGAGGAGACTCCGAAATTCTACGGGCTCCCGAAGATCTATAAGAAAGATTATCTACTAATAATAAGGCCCATAGTGCAAAACATCGGCAGCACACCCGCCTAGGCTAGGCACTAGGCGGATAGGCTAAGTCCCCAGGTCGGGAACACCGCATCACCATGTGAAGAACAGGGCAGATTTTTCTTCCAATATTCGGCATCTCACAGTCACACTGAGCCAGAAACAGGTTTCTTATTACGTTTATGCCCTTTTCACCAGCACCCCGGATACCGAGGAGATCATTTGTATGAAGCGCAAATTAGAAAGTGTGGACAGCTGAAAGGACAAACCATGTTCACGCTGGAACAGCGATTATCAGGCTGTTGGAGTTTGTACTATCTGCCACCTACTTTGTTTATAGAGCAACGTTCTATAGGCAGATTCAGGGGTGCGCGATAGGATCACCAGTATCCCCCATAGTTGCCAACCTGTACATGGAGCAGTTTGAAAGAGAAGAGTTGTCCAAATTCCTCAGACCACCGGAAATCTGGTTAAGGTACGTGGATGACACGACAACTTCACTAAGTTACGCGAATATAATCTGACATATAGACGTTTTAGGAGCGTTTAAACTCCATGGTCCTCGGCACATTCAGTTCACCGGGGAAACGGAAACGGAAAGCTACCCTTTCTAGACACTTGCATTCTCATCGTGAGGATGGTTCAACGAAGGTCACCATTTACAGAAAGCCTACTCACACCGATTAAAATCTGAATTTTAATCCCGATTACTATCTGAAATACAAACTATCGGTGGTGAGAACTCTCTTTCTTCGAGCCGCGACGATCATCACGGACGACTAGGACAAGGAAATTGAATTGAAACATCTTAAATCAGTCCTTCAGGACAACAGCTACAAACCGTGGATGTTTAGCTTCCCGCCAAAGACAGCCAACACCTCAGGTACAAAAAGCGAAGTCGTCTCCACTCGTGCTCACAGTTTCTCACTTTCCCACCTGCAAGGGGTTTTCAGAAAACTGGCTCACAAACGTTTTCAAAAAGCAAGGAGTTGGCACATCCCACAAGCCTTTCAAGACCATCAGGCAACATTTGGTCCACCCCAAAGATCCGACACACAAGGAAAGGAAATGTGGGGTGGTGTACGAAATTCAGTGTGAGGGCTGTGATGATTTCTTAGCTAGACCTTTTGGAGTGTGGGGTTCAAGGAACACGTTGCAATAAAAAAAGCGTTAACAAGGGCGGTGAGGGATCATCTAAAGCGGTCAGGCCACATCTCGAATATGTCCTCTTCTTCGATCCTGGAGAGAAAGAAGGACATGTTCAAGACTGAAGAGTTAGGGAGGTCATCGAAATATTTTGTCGGGTTCCAACATTGAACAGGGACGCTGGTTACGAGATCCCTCGATCTATCGGGACGTTTTGACACGTGGTTCACAGTAGAAATCACATGACAAAACGCCCAAATCCATCACTTAATAAAGATTCCGCCATGGTCGAATCGAAAGGTTGTGTTTTAAAAAGTTTTTCCTATCCTGTAAATTGAATCATCGCTTATTATAATATTATAGTATTTTTGACCTGTCACTAATAAGGTTTCTGATTGTCCTGGAACAGATCTAACTGATGACGTACTTGATATCGTCTTTGACGCAGTCAACAAGGCACCTGAATCAAGAACAATGGCATGTGGCTTTATTTACATGCCAAGCCTTGGAGGAAAATTAAGAGAAATGACAGACGAGGACAACGCATTTCCTTTTAAAGCAGCAGAGTATGTGAGCTTATTCCAAATTTCACTATGCATATCGTCTTCTATTCTATGTATCACGGATTTTGTGATTTTATTCACTCCCTTCTTTTGAACAGGTACCGAGTCGGCGCAGTGGTTGCCGCACAGGATCGAGATTCATATGACGTAGTTAAAGCATGGGCCGACGGTCTCGATCAGAAACTGTCCAAATATGGAATCTTCCCACAAGGCCCCGAGGCTGAAAAAGTTCAAAAGAGACTGAAAGAGTTGAAAATAAAATATGATCCAGAAAATGTCTTCCACCAGAACGTGCCGAATATTGATCCTAAAAAGGAATAGGTTTTTAGTTCGTTAAAGTTATTCGTTGTAGGGTAACAAAAAAAAAACCGCAACTTGTAACACTTCGGAGAACAAAACTAGAGGTGAAAGAACATTGAACATTTTAGGTATAAGGGTTGAGGTGTCTGTTTCTCTTTTTCATTTTACACTGTCAGGTTTTCCAGGTGGTTCTGAGGATGGTTCGGCGCTCTAGTTTACGTTTTTATAATTCAACAAAGCCGGAGTACTTACCTGAAAAAAAAAAGAAAAGAAAACACTTAACTTGTCTGTTCTTATTTGGTGATTAACAAGCTTTCAGCCGAGGGTGAATGGACTAGAGGAGGGCTGGGTACGGGTAACTTATCAAATCAAGCGCTCTTTTCCCGCTCCCTACCTTCGCGCATCGAGTCGATAAACTGATTACAGGCGAGCTGTGTAATGTTACCAGCTACGCAAGCTAAATGAAGGACAGTTTAGTTAAAGGCAATCTGTTTGTCCTGATTATTGGATTAGACCAGATATGTCAGTGAGCAAATCAATAACAATTTTGGTAGCATAATCGTCTAACTGTTCATTCTTGGAAGAGAAGATTTCCTCACGGACGTCTTTAAATTATTAAAACCTTTTTATGGCCAAGAAAGGAAGGCTTTTCTTCTCACGTTCTTTTGCAACAAACAAAGGGCGCGATCCATTCAACCAAAATTTCCGGAAATTTCGGTCCAAAACTCAATGGATCGGTTCTGTCCAACCGGAAAAGTTTCGAAAAAACAGGTCCACCTTTTGAGGTGGACTCCTTTTCCCGGTCGGACCGGTTGGAATTTTTGTTGAATGGATCGCGCCCAAAAAGCCACAAATCCCACTGAAATATTTTGTAATAAAGAGCGAATTTTTCGTGATATATTTTTAGTTTGAGATTGATTAGTCTTTCAGTAAGTTTAGTCCAGTGATGTCTACTGACATGAAGAAATGGCAAACTTTGGCGACAATCTGGGAGATTTCATACTCAACCGGGAGATACAGTCCAAAACCGCAGTCTCCCCCAAGTTATCAGGGAACTGGTTGACAGCACTGTTGACACGCACATTTCTAGTATTCTGAGAGGTCAAATTCTGTCTAAAATGTTCACTAAATCAATGCCCGACAAGATCGGGATGGTTGGACGGTCTGAACCATTCAGAAGGCCATGATGGGCTTATGTAGATTTTCTTGCCCGTCCGATAAACAGCTACTCGTGAGTTCCCTATACCCTTCAAGAAGAGAAAAGGGAGAGAGCCAAAGGAGAGAAAATCTTTCTCTCTCTGTCTTTCCCTCTTTCCCAATTCCCCTAAGGAAGGTGTGATGTGCACGTGGTCAATGTTGACCTCCCTCGCGCACCCACTGGTCTTCGCGCGATATTCTATGACCGTGTCGTCACCGGAGATTGGGCCGAAACTTGTAACGCCTGGTTGATTCCGCGCTCGAACGCGCAGATAAGTTCTGTGGGTGGCTTGATAAGAATGGCGGATTTTTCTTCATTGAAGGCTCTTCTTTCAGGAAGTGTCATCCTTAAATCAGAGGATAAAAAAGCTTTTGAAAAGGAGATTGATGGAACGTGGAATGCTGTTATTCGAACGCGTCAGCCTTGTGCTTTCGTGAGAGTGGCCTCCGTGAAAGATGTGGCCAACACTGTTAAGTTTTGTGTACACAACAAGGTACGTTAAGCAGCGGTTCACTGGTAACGCATTAACTTGAAATCCTGCTGCGCTCTTATTATAACTAAAGAAAAAAGGCAGCTGGATTTAATGGGCCAATTATATATATCATTATGACATTATTGTTTTCGTAATCTACCTATATTTAGGTTGCTGACTATAAATTATTGAAAGTACGTAGCACTTCTCTGCATGAAGGTGGCACAGGTTCTGCCAAAACACGCCTCGTGTTTCTTATAAATTATGTATTATGTGACTAGCCTGTTTCTATAATACTGAAGAAGATGTGCAGCTGCTAAACGATTTTAATCAAAATTGTGACCCTCTTCTGTTCCATACTAACAAATGTGCAATGATTCATATTCATCAACTCAAAATAATATTATACAGTAACTGCATACGCTTAACCTACATCAGGCTGCTGGCAAAGAAGTTTTCCATGATGCCTGATGAGTGTCAAATTATTAGGGTGATACGTCATCAGGCCCAAATTAGCCATGTGAGACGTGATTGGGCTAGTGGGGTAGTGGGTGATTTTCCTTTTGGATTTTCATGATTGGTGAATATCATTTGAAAGTACCGTGTGACACAAAAGTTTTGTGGGTTCTAATTATTTAGATTTTTCCAGCAATCTGCAAAAAGAAGTTCCCACAAAAGACAATTACTGCAATTTTTCCTGTAAAAATTTACACTGTAGAAAACACAGAATTGAAATTAACAACAGACAGTCATGTAATCATTTTCAGGTCCTTTTTCTCATTCCTCAGGCTTGCCTGATCTACTGTCAAAATCATATTATGATCTCTACTCTCAGATCAGTGAAATGTTAATGTAGTTAATATTTGAGCAACATCCGATTTCAGAAAATTCTTTTGTACAATTAAGGTCAGTCAATTAACCCTTTAAGCCCCAATATCCACATACAAATTCTGCAAACTGATATCGATGCATTTCCTTCAAGAATAAGTTGAGAGAATTTGATAAAAGGTCAAGGCATTTTTCCTTAGGTGATCATTTTATTCATTCTCATAACCTAATCTCTTGACATTGTATGGATATCGTTAGTAGAAAATTGAAGTTAGACACTATTGGGACCAATCGTACCTGAGAAGGACACCAAAAACAATTTGCAGGGGCTTTTTCATTCAATGGGTTGAGATATTGCCTTGTCAACTTACTGCAATCACACCTCATTTACATGTTGTATGCTGGCAAATTTTTTTTTCCATGTGATGCATGATGGCTTAAAAAAGTCAGCGTGATGTACGATAGTTACACCCCCCTTTACCACCCTGCTATGTGTAGGATGCAAAAACCTAGTTTAGATACCTAGATACCTTAGACAGCACACAAGGCTGGTTGGTTTAAAACCAGGACAGGGTTGTTAAAAGCTTGGTTAAGGTACAATATAATCCATAATCCAAGGTCTGTGTGAAATTTGAATTCAGATATAAAAGCTGAAATAGCAAATTCAGTTTAATTGTCTTTGTCTGAAATTTGTGGAGACGATGCTCTTATTAGAATAGAGAAAAGTGCTTTGGAACAAAATGAAAAGAAACCTAGATTAAAATTTAACCCTAGATTAACGCTAATCAGTCTTCGAACAGCTGGACTCAGGGGTTAAGTGAGGGCATAGCCTGTGAGTGCAGCTGTATAATTTTTTGGGTCATTGCCTATCTCCTCCTGTAGTTGAGCTTGGAATTTACCCTGTTTTCCCCAAAGTTAAAAAATATTTACATTCATTCTGCAGTACAATCTTTTGCAGCATTTTGGCATGTATAACAGTCATAAAAAGTGCCTTTTGAGGGGCTATATTTCATGCAAGACTTCATATTTTGGGACTGTGCGAATTTGTGTTTATTGTTGGGTTGGTAGTCAATTTTGGGGGTTGTACTGTGAAAATGGCAGTCTCCATGTCTGACATAATGTAGATCTCCAGATGTTGCAGTCTTTTACACAAGTACAATTTCTACTGCCACTTTCTTTTTGAGGTGATATACTATTTATCACCAGCAAACTCTTTTTTGTTAAAAAAAACCCCTCCCTTTATAAAGGTGTATTAGTTTTGGAGAAGTTCAATTTTATTCATGGTCTCAGTTTTATTTCCCCTTTGTTGTTTGGTCAACAACTGTTAATTAATCAGTTTAATGGATGGAAAAATAATATAGTAAAATTTAAACCAAAGACACATCTAGAGGAAGGCATATCTAGTCGCCATGGGAGTGATTGGTATTAGAGGGAAAAGTGGTATAAGTACCGTTGTTTGCTCGAAAACAGTCTCTTATTCCAGTCAAATATTTCTAAAGCTCCCTGTTTCCTCAAGTCCTATGGTGTGTGAATGGGCAAAGGCCTCCAAGACCAGGTATAAGACTGTACTTGATGCATGTAACTAGGCGTGTTATTTAGTAGTAAGAAATAATGTTTAAATGAGTGGCATTGTTTTAACCTTTTTTTCAGCTTGAGATGTGTGTTTGTGCTGCAAAGAACAGTGACTTTGCATTGGCCAATGGTGCTGTGGTGATAGATTTGTCAGATCTGAATACTGTTACTGTGGATGTTCAAAGTAAAGTATGTGTGCAGTTGGATTTTTTTAATTATTGTTACATAACTTACATTGTGTAATAAATGCATTTAATTATTTTACTCTCATATTTTAATGGAAAATAATTTACAGGATTACCTGTATTGACATTATTAAAATTGCATGTACCTATATGCAGAATCATCAGTCTACCATGTTGACTGTTAAATGATTTATGTTAGGTAGTTGTTGTTGGAGCAGGTGCCAAGATGGCTGATGTTGATTCAAAAACAGTTCCTCACTCTCTTGTTACACCTCTTGGTAGCTACTCCCAGCTGGGCGTGGTAGGATTTACTCTGTTGGGTGGGACTGGTCTCTTGACCAGGGCATTTGGGTGTACTGCAGACAATGCTGTGGAGTTTGGTAAGTTTAATCTTAATTTAGATTCCTCTCTAGAATAGAAACATGATGATAACAAAAGATTCCCCCCACTGCACTGACAGACAAAATATTTCCAGAAAATTTAAGTAAGTGTAAAACTGACGTGTGTTTTGCTTTGGCTACCAAAATAAGCTCACATTGATGTACATGTATTGTTTTTAGGAGTACTTGAGACTATGAAAATTAATACTCATATACACGATGTCATGAAAATTAAGTAGTAGCCGCTGTTCAGGACAAAAGTCATTTTTTTTAATTTACAAATTCTTAGAGTTGGTTACAACATCAGGAGAAGTTATAAAGGCAAGTGAGAAAGAAAATTCAGACCTGTTCTGGGGGATGAAAGGCTATGGCTCTAACTTTGGGTAGGTTTCGATAATATACTTGTACAAAATGAAGTGAATTGCGCATTTTATGATATCTGCAAGGGCATTGGAACTTCCACTTAATGACTTACAAGTACTTCTCTGTAATAGCCCTGGAATTTTGTGCTGGTCCAAGGCCTATAAACTTACTATTATTGACACACCACGTAACAGCTTTTTCTATACAGTGGAAAGAATCTGTGCATTATTTCTTTGCTACATAAAACCAGAAAATTCACTCTGAATAACTTATGTGTCAGTAACATCTCTTTGATAAAAATGCAATAAGTTTTTCTTTTGCTTCAGTCTATGAACATGATGGTAGAAAAAACTTAATAACAGTGGAACGTCTAGCACTATCACCAGCACCCAGTCCCAGTTGTTCAAAAGGTCGATAACATTATCTACTGGATTAGCCTGCGTAGCTGGCGGTATTGTGTAGTAGTCGAGTGAGATTTGGTGGTGGAGCCATTGTAATATAGTCGAGTGAGATTTGATGGTGGAGCCGTCACGAGCAGCAAAGCCGCGAGAAATACCGCCTGCCAGAGAACCATGATTTTTCGAATGTCGCCCACTTTTGTCACCTTAGCTGATCGCAATTAAATCAGCCAGTCAAAGAGAAACCTGCAATTTGAAACTTCCAATTATTTTCACGCGAGACAGTTTAGAAATAAGCATTGACAGGCTAAACACGACTCCTAAGCTCGTGATAATGTGAAACGTGACCTTGCGAGTTTGCTTGAACAGGCTACGCAGGCTACTACTGGATAAATCCCTATCCACTGCGGGATAACGCAATCGGTTTTCCTAATATTTATCCGTAGGATAGTGATTTATCCAGTCGACAGTGCTATCTAATGTTTGAACATCTGGGGCCAGGGGTCCATTTCTCGAAAGTCCCGGAAACTTTTCGGGCGTGAAATCAAATATTCAAATCGAAACATAAAGAATAAGAGCGCGTGTCCTGGCTAGCAAACTACTCCATTTTGTTTCATTAACTGATAGTCTTGTCATGTTAGATGCAAAACTATTGAAACCTCGATCTTTAATGTAAACGGGGACAGCTTACCAGGCCCGTTAATTATCAGGACTTTTGAGAAACAGCCCCCACATTAATCTCTATTCCCTGGATAGCCCAATAAATTGCTTTGCCCAATACTTTTGTATTGATTTATCCAACTTGAATGAAGCTATTTAGTCTTTGAACTGCTAGGGCCAGGTCCCAGTTGTTCAAACGGTGGATAGCACTATCCACCAGATAAATCTTTATCCACTGGAAAGTGCAATTGGTTTCCCTAATATTTATCCACTGTATAGTGAGTTATCCAGTGGATAGTGCTATCCAGCTTTTGAACAACTGGGGCCAGATCTATAAAAAAGTCATGGGAGAACTTTTTTTAATTGATCTTTTTACACCCCTATACAGTAGAGACCTATGACCCTGACTACTTCTGGGACATGAAATTTGGGCTAACATAAGCACAATTTCTATTAACGTGGTCATATTAACGAGTTGGAGTGGAGTCATGGTGTCCAGTTGTTAGCGCCTTGCCATCTTGATGTTTCCTTTCACAAGAAAGGAAAGGTGTATTTTATTGGGTACTCACGACATACTGCTGGGAGGTAACCCCGAAATGGACTAGTATCCCATGAAAGGGGCGATTGGTGGGGAGGTGGCAATACTCTAAATGCTTCATGCTACTGAAATTGGGGATTAACTATGGCCATGTGGGCTTCATTGGCTTGTGTGTACCTTTGTTAACAAGGTGGTCTTATAAACAGGGTAGTACCAGGGAGGGGTCATTGGATAACTCCTAACAGTGACCACCAGCCAGCATGACTGTTGTCTAGTCATTTCACTCTAAGCAAATCATAAACCCCTCAGGACCCAATATTAAGTATTGGACTAAACATTGGTGCCTGTTGTTTCCCATTAGAGTAGTGACATCCATAACATTTCAGCTTCATGATATTCCTGACCATGTCATTGGAGGGGACCTGTTTTACTCCATTTCTCAAGCTCCAGGGGCATTCAAAGGTATAAGAGACTTCATTCGTGAAAAGGAAGATAACAGAATTTCAGTCTACATGATGGTGCATTTTAAGTCTAGTGGGTAAGAACTTATTCATGTTAGTTGTTAGCCATGCACACCCATTTATTGTATCCCCATGTACACTTCCTCCTTCTTATTTCCAGCCCGGGGTGGGGTGGGGGGGTACTGCCATATATGGGCTATATAGGTATGTGCTGCTGTGAAGGGTATGGTTTTCAAGCAGTTTACTCTAGGATAGGGTATATAAATCAGAGCATTTGGGTCTAGAATAGGGTATCATTTTTCAGGAAACTGATCAGTTGGTTGAAGATTTTTCTAGACTAGGGAAACAGCCACTCTAGGATAGGGGGGATTTGGGGAGTTTACTGTAGTATACTTTAGCAAAATTCAGCTGAACTAGCTCTGGTAGGGTTCCAGGGTCCCAGCGACACATCCCCACCCAGTTATCCCTAAAGTTCCCCCTGGGATTTCCAGACACCCCCTCTACGCCTAATGATAACAGACACTTCATTATCCTGCGGAACCAATCAAGATCAAGCTCAACATCAAGCTCTCTAGATGAGCCCTTTAGGCTGTAAGAGTAAATGTTGTAATAAATATTGTTTATTAAAAAAAACTAAAAGCTATTAATTGATAACAACTGGTGACCAATTAACCCGTCACCCCTTCCCCTCCCCTGTTAGAAATCCGATCTCTGCCCCTAGGATTAACTATACTGGATACAAGTTGATAGGCAAGGAGAATAAAATACTCAGAATCAAGGAACAGTGCAAGCAGCTGTGAGTAAATGGGAGGTTTTGCAAGCGTCTTTCCTTGCTTGTCATTCGCGATCAAGGCAAAAGCATTGAGCTTGACCTCCCGCTCTAAAGACAAGTTCTCTTCTTACTGAGCCAGCCCTCACCTCTTCTCTTTCTTTTGCAGACCTCAAGTAATCTGCCGTTTTCTTTTTATTGGCCCAGCAAAAGAAGGTGGTGAACTACTAATGGAGTTGACAGATCGAACAAAACCCGTTGATAACAAAGTGAAGCCTGTACTTTTTGATCAGTTCCAGAAAAGTGCTGATTGGATGGTTCCTAGAGGGCGATTTTACTATACACCAATGGGAGCATTTGCTAAAGGTATGACTGGAGGAGATGTTTTCGTCTGTTTATTTATTAACTGTTTAATTTTTGGTACCTTTTGGAGAATTACAAGCTTTAAGGTGATTCCCTGGTAAAAGAACCTATCATAGATTGTAGATGAAACTTGGTACACTGATGTAACAAGTCAAGAAGATGATAAAAAGGTAATAAAAAGTGGGGGTCACCGTGCTCTTTTTGACGTCACAACGCTGACAAATACGGCTATTTTGGACCATTTGACAAAAACCGCCCGCAGCCCAAAACTAGACAAAAAGGAAAGATTTTTTCAATGATGCATGTGGTATCGCACAGAATTTGACTTTAATGTATTGTTTATCCACTTACGTACCAGAAAAATGCCTTTTAATGCCCTTGTTTTTACTTTACGCTCCAAAGTAGAATTAAATTGGTCACGCGCTATTCGACGCGTGATAGCTCAATCCGTACAATTTAGTAAAATTGTCAAAAAACTGAACATAGATTTGTGCCAATTTTTTTCTCACTGGAAGGAAGCACCGTCTTTATTAAAATCATGAAATAAAAAAGGAAGGTCACCGTACTCGTTTTTGCGGTAGAGCTGCAGAAAGTGCGCACCAAATGCATTTTCCTGATTTTTGACAGAGGACTGGGGCGAGTTTCAAAGTAGAATGTATGCGAGAGGGGGAAGAAAGTATTAAAAAATCCGTTTTTACAGAATTTACATCGAGATATCACATTTAGGACACAATGTGATAATGAAAGCGTTTAAATGAAAATCAAAGTGAATAAGCACAAATTAAACATCCACTATCGAGGTTCCCCGTCAGGAAGTCGAACTCAGCAACACACGTACTGCTTACGTTATGCACATTCCCACCACATTGAGTCTCACCTCGGCAAGAAATAACCGCAAGCAAAAATTGCAATAGCGTTTCTCTTCGGTCAACTTCATTTTAATAATGTTACTTCACATGCTCTTTTTAACGGAGGCCATCTTGTTATGCGCAGTAAGAGATGCGCAGTGCAAAACCAGGGAATCACCTTAAGTGTCAATGTATTTAGCACGAAAGTACTAATCGGGGACACAATTTTTACGTCTCCTAAGATTCTGAATATTGGTCCGGTCCCGGGAATCGAACCCGCGATCTCTCGCTCTGCAGTCAAGCGTTGTACCGACTGAGCTAATCCTGCTGCGGTATAGGTTGTATAACCAACATAGAAGGTGTTTAAGAATGTTCTTTTTACACTTCTAAGAATATTTAAGTCTTAAAAGACATTCAAATGAGGAATCACTTTCTCAAAAAGACAGAAAATGTGGGGCACCGCGTTGGAGATATCAAGCAACTGCATGAAAAATACCCAACGTTTTGAAAATGTCTTTATTGTCGAACATGGACTTGGCGCTGCAGATGAATAATACATTTCTTTTGTTTTATTGCCCCAAGCGTCTTAGCCAAGTGTGAATTTTAGTTTATCGAAATTGATCCTTATGTAGAAAGGGCCTATGGTGGGTCAGTAGGCTTAAGGTACCTTCCCCCTGTGGCTCTCGCGAGCACCACAACCAGCACGAGCCAATCCTGCATTGCTCGCCCCACTTCCCCTCTCCCCCTCCCCCCTAAAAAAGGCCTTTCTTGCACCCTGAAAAATCTCAAGCGCTTAGCTAAGATGCAAACTCGCCAAAATCAAAAAATGCTTAAATTTTCTTGATGGGTGTTAGATGGCTTTCCTTGTTATCTCGTTTCTAAAATTGACCCTGCATTGTTAACAAAGCTTCTGACCTTTCTAAACAGAACTTGATGATGAGTTAATTGATATGATCTTCGACGAAGTCAATAAAGCGCCCGAATTACGAACAATAACATCTAGCAACATTTATATATCAAGCCTTGGAGGAAAACTAAATGAAATGACAGACGAGGACAACCCATTCGCTTTTAAAGCAGCCGGGTGAGCAGTCATATTTCTTATCCGTGAGTCATTTCTAAGAAATACTAATCACTCTCCTCTTCGCCAAACCCTTTATACATTTTGTAGTTTTCGCGTTCACTTCCGATAACTTTGCGGAATTTATTATTTCGAATACTCATGGATATATGATAAGTTGATCGTCAGAATTCTTCGAATCATCAGGGGAAGCCTTTGGCTCACGTGTAATTTCAAGAAACATGAATTCAGTAACTGAAGTCACGTGTTCCGTAATTTTCGTTATTCTTTAGTCCCTTAGTCTACGTCACAGGCTACCGTGGCATAAAAACCGTGACAAGACTAAGACGAATGTGGTGCCAAAATGGCGGCAAATTTTGACTTTACAAAAAACGTAATTCTAAATTAATAAATCACGTTGTGTTCAAATCGCAAAATTTCTTCACAGAGATTCTCGTAGTAATGTGTACTTTCTATTAAAAAAATATTTTTTTAGGGTTAATGTTTTATTCATTTATTTTTCTAAACAGATACTGGATTGGTCCTGTAGTCGCCACACAGGATCCAAACTCGTATGACGTCATAAAGACATGGGCCGACAACATCAATCAGAAACTGTCCAAATATGGAATCTTCCCACAAGGCCCCGAGGCTGAAAAAGTTATGCAGAGACTGAAAGAGTTGAAAGTAAAGTACGATCCTGAAAATGTCTTCCACCAGAACGTGAATATTGATCCTAAAAAGGAATAGGCTTTTAGTTAGGTAGTTTAACTTGTTTTAAAGGTAGCAAACTAACAGAAGAAACTGGAAAAAGTTGTAGAAAACTCAACGTCGATCGTGACAACTCATGAGTGACCTTCAGCTCAGTCAAACTTTTCTTTTCAAAATGAAAATAAAGTACGCAGCATGCTCTTCAACCTTCCTCCGCTAACGTCAAATTGTTTGTAATATAAGTTAAGTTATTAGCCGTGCCGTAAAACAGTAACGTTAAATCTTCCATAAATATTTGAAGTAAGAAGTAAGAAGTACCATACTTAAATAATATAACAGCAACAACTTTATTTCAGTATTCCCACGTGAGTACATGGTATTACCAACATTATTTATGTTATAAATCTTAAATCAAAATAAAGGCTGTAATTAAAGAACAAGTTTTTGTCCTATATTCCATACATGAATGTATGTAAGCAGCTGTAAGGATCGACATTCTTAAATATGAAGAGGGTTTTTTATATATGATTAATGTATGATATACAGTGTCGTTATAATTTGAGTAGGTAGGTATAGATGTAGTTTAATCTATGATAAAACAAACAGTTCTCTCTTCTAGACTCCGCGCGCTATTTAGCAGCTCAGAGGAATAGATCAGAGGCTCAACAGCAGAGACTGAGAATAAGTCGGTCGCCCGAATACATGCAAGCGTTAATTACCTCTGTTACAAAAAATCGTCGTTCAGGCTTGTTCCGGTTATATTCATGGGTAGAAATTCTGTTGTAGTTGAAAAGGCTCCATTTGTAGTTGCTATGCGGGAAATAAACTCGAACTCATCCCCCTTCGCGTCCTCCTCTTGCGAAGGAAACCTTGGCTGTGGTACCAAAATCGAACTCTAAGGTTTTCGTCGTTAGTCACCATCGTTTCAATGCATTCTTGTTTACGTATTTTCTTTTTGTGCAAATGAGAAACCTCAAGTTGAAATGTTATCACATTACAGTTATCTAAGGGCAAAGATGTTACTCGAGTTTTGGAAATAAATCTGTGTTATTTTTCAATAATCAGTTTTGTCCTCGCTAAATCTGAATTTATCTTATGCTGGTGCTCTGGCAACAGTTGAAATTTGACTACATTTTAATGTAATATGTGATACTTCCAGAGAGAACCTGGAAACCGCTCCAGTGAAACACCTAACTGAATGCCAAAGATACGCAATGAATAACACGTGCATCTAACATGTTAAATTCAAATTTTTAAGACGAAAGAAATGATACTTTAATATCGGCAAAAAATTTAAATCCTTTTATCAGAGGTTATAAGAACACCACACGCAAACGAATAATAATTGTGCGTGCGCAGAGTCCTGCATTATTGGGAGGGTAAGGAAGGGTTCATTTCTTGTGTTTTCTCTCTATTGGCGTATGACAAAGCATGGGGAAAAGAGCCGAAGGCACTGAAGTCGAGAATAAGAGACTTGATCAAACGCGGGCCACATACTGCGGAACACGAGAGCAATAGAAAATGTATGACCAAAGGAAATTAAACCTCTTGGACAGTACTTTCACATCGTACTATATGCCTCTTTTTCAGCGTTTCACAGATTGAAAATAGATCATTTTGTGGAATTTTTTCTTTGGTCAGTTTTGAGAGTGAAAGGGTTAAACAAAATCCAACACCGTCCAACAAGTTTCGACGTGTTCAGAGGGTGTGAATGGGGTTAACCGACTAGCGACAAAGGGCTAAAAATATTACTGACTACCGACAAAACGAGTAAAAAATTACCGACTACCGACATGGGAGGACATTATCAATATTTGTTTCAGAAAAAAAGAGCATTTTGCATTTTTTTCCAGCCGTTAGGAAGTAACCTCTTTAAATTTATGACTCATCAGATGGTCTAACAGAAAGAACTTACTCTTTTGTTGATACGGCTACATTACTACAACCAATATCATAATCACAGAAGCCACAGTCCTTAAAGATGCTACCGACTTTATATATTTTATTGAAAAGACAAAGCTGAAAAAACTGAACATTTCTTGATTCGGTCCGAGAAATGTTTAGATTAATCCTGAAAGAAAATTCTTTCCAGTTTAATGGAAAGCACTATCAGTAAGAAACCACAGTACCGCGATGAGCACATACAGCAGTTTCCTTTCCAACATTTTCATGGCCGCATATATTGAAACACAAAGTTTAAGCAAAACCGTCTTTAAACCAACTGTTTGAAAATGCTACATAGATGATATTTTTTCCCTGTGGGACATAAGTAAACCAGACATGGTAGATTTCTTCAAATTCACGGAACAAGTAAACTTACTTCACCCTACTTCTCTACTGGCTATGAAATTTACGCCCGAAATATGTGACACTGAGACAATCTTTTTATACCCCGTTGTATACCAAGGCACAACATTCAACGAAAAATGAGAAAAAGCTATCATTGACGTAAAGACGTATATACATTTTCACCTCTTACCACCCACCGAATGTTAAAATGGACTTGACCGATGGATTTGGCCTTGAGTATTCTACGAACAAACTCCTCTGAGGAAGTATTTCAGATTTCAAAAAGCGGTTGATGGACAGAGGCTGGCCACATAATTTTGAAATAAAAATTGCTATTAGAAGTAAAACTCACAGGAGAAAAGCAGCTCTCCTGAAACAAAACAACAAGGAAGAAAAAGAAATATTGCCTTTCGTGACACAATACAAGCCCTTAGTGTCTATTCTAGAGCGGTTTTCACTTGACTGTCGTAAAACCAAAACCAAAGCAAATACATTAGCCAACCAAAGGGCGTAGTAAAACCAAAACCAAAACCAACCCCTTTCGACAGTCAAGTGAAAACCGCTCTAAAAGAAACTTTAATGTAAAAGTGTAATCTCATACAAAACCAACCACTACCTTGCCAACTTAACCCTCAGACGTACACGCAAAATCATACCCCCCACCATGGTACAAGAGGATGGTAGATGGAACCCCTCCCCAGAGTTTTTGATATGTTGCAGTATTTTGAAGCGATTTTGCCTTCACTGAAAAGCCTTTGATCTTCTTAACAAGATGAGGTATAATTTATGAATGGTGGCACTGCTGGAGGCCTGTTACGTCACCAATGATGGTCGCCATCTTTGCCGCCATCTTGGATATTACAAAGAATTACAAAACAGGTTAAAACAAAGAGAAATGTTTATTACTTCACATGAATAATAACACATAAATAAGCACTTTGCATGATTTTAGCTACAAGATTTTTCTTTTATTGTTGAAAAAAGTTGAAAAAAAACATATATTTTCACTCAAAATGGCTTGACAACCTGCTACTTATTACGTCATACCTCGTAACCATAGCAACTGATCATCACTGAACTTTTCTCAAAATGCGTGCGAGGGATAAACGAACATCTACTGAAAACCTCAGGTGCTGATGTTTTATCCTCTTGGAAAAATCCCAGAAACCTAAAGGGGGTGGCATCCACCCCCCACCCCTTGTATGTCCGAGGGTTAAAGTGTCATTTCTTTGAGGAGGGAAACTTATGGCAAAGGATAGATGTGCAGCCCGTCACTCCTTGCAGTTTTCCACTAAGCTGACAATTTAAGTATCCAAAAGGCTGGTGTCCATTAATTAATTAATTACTTTTTACTGTGCCGTGTAATCGACAGGGAAACCAAGTTCACATTTACAGTAAAACGTTTGGTGATCTTATCAGTACGCATGATATTCATTTGGCAAACAATGGTGAAATAAACGACCACAGGAGCCGATCGGCTCCTGAAGATCATGTTGCATAAACAAACAAGAGTTATTGAAGTTCAAGTGGCAATCAAATGATGCATTCTTACAAGTTTTACTCTTTCCCTTGGGATCAAAGTCTTGAAACTTGGTGAAATACATAAAAAATATTAATAATTAACAAACGTTTTTACTTATTAACTGAGATTTTCGGACAACCAACAAAAATCAAGAAGTTTAACCGACTACCGACAAAGATCGAAAATTTTAACCGACTACCGACAAAGTAACTGAATTTTAACTGACAACCGACAAGTGGACCCTCCCATTCAGACCCTCTGTTCATAATCCAATGTTATAATCGATGAAACTGGATCGACCGAGAAAGCTTGTCCTGGACCAACACGATGAGATCCGTTTCAACCAGCGACGGCGACGGAGGGGAAAACATCGCATAAAAAGTGAGCTTGAACTGTTTTAAACAGGCATCCTTGCTCGGCATATTCCATCTCGTTCAATTTGCCATTGTTAGGGAATTTTTCAGGGGTTGTGTTATAAAATCTGTATTCAAGGCCCCGTTTATGTGGAGAAAACCTGTCTCGGGTAAAATATAGCGTGCGAGCAAGCTCTCCATTTCGGGGGAGTCGCGAGAAGTCACGTGAGAGCCACGCGAAAGAAGACGCGCGCGAGTGCATGGGGCGGGGAAACAAAAAGGGAAAGACAAGCACCATAAATGGAGAGCTTGCTAGCAGGCTATCACTCTCACAGCTGAGTCAACTTTAGCGGGCGTTTATATGTGATAAACGTTGACCCCTTTGCTGGCCTTTACCTTTGCCCGAGCCAACAGCGCTCGCGCATGCTCGCCTTGATTGAGTTGACCCGGCTGGCGGGTCACCCTTGCAAACTTTTTGCTTCTCGTAAACGCTTTGCCACATTTTTAAGGAAATGTATGATAAAAAGAAATGAAGAAAAGCTGGCTCGCCCAGGGTAGCTGGGGTGCCTTCATGGTGATCCTTCTACCCGGGACAAATTTTCTCTTTATAAACAGGGCGTAAGTTTAGTGAAAGAAAAAGAAAATGGTGGAAACACCCCTGCATCAGGAGGCGATCATTCTAACTACAGAAACAGCTGCCTATTAAATCACAGTTGTATCATATCACTATTATATATATGATTCGGGTTCCTTATTGGTACGTCACCGTACTTTCTCTGTCCACCCAACGACCGTGTGTTGACAGGAGGTTGGGCACTAATAAACAAGATTACTATTGTCCGCCATCTTGGATATTGGATTTGTTGACGGAAGTTCTATAAATTCTCTGTCGATGGTGAAGCACTTGAAGTGAGTGATTCTAAACATAATCATTCACGATTTTTGGGAAACCTTCGAGTTACATTTGAGCAACTTTGAACGAGGTTTGGATGGTGGGACTACATCAAGAACAAGCGGTTATGCTGGTTAGTCTAAAAATATGAATATTAGTATAATTAGATTTTACAGCTGTACGTACTTCATAGGAGATTTGTCTGTCGAACCAGATCAAGTTCGATCGTAGAATTTTGTTGTGTTTGAGAGTCTCAGATCTCAAGAAATCGAGGTTAAATGTCACGTAACATGACTACCGCAAGACAATCGTCATTTCATTCGATTTGACAAGTAAGCTTACACGCTAATATTGAATGCCCATCGGGGTTGAATGCTTCTATAACTTTGTTTCCGGCATCTTTATCACCTGCTTTACTTTTATCGATCGCTGCTGCACTCGCTTTTTTTTTCTTACTTAAAGGACAATTCAGTTGTAAAACGGGTCACAACTTCTACATTTCAACAAAAATTCACTCGGTAGTTCTAGTCGATTAGCGATTTTCAATAGCGTAGAGTGGTTTATTTGTTCCTCCTAGGATATTCTGTCATCTATGATATTGTCGAAGAATTAAGTTTTTAATTTTTGTTTTTTCAACATAGCTAGTCTTACTGAAAGTAACTTTTTTGTTTTTTTTTTCCCTCGGCTATCTTTGAATGATGTGTACGGTTTCAGCCTTTAAGTTTAAGGGTTGAACCCTCGCATGCTCGCACATGCCTTGTTTCAGCACTTTGTTGTGTCTGCAACAGCATGGTAAAGAAAATGTTAATATATTTACCTGAATAAGAAAAGGACATAAAATTCCATGCAGTAATAATTACATTTCAAATGCCAGCAGCCGAAAATTAAACTCCATGAATCAGTCAATTTCCACTCCCACTATCTGACACATGATGACAGTCTTCTGATGGCAAGATATATTGGGTTGCTCGACAGCTCTTTAGTTTACCGCTCATAAACGTAAGTCAGTTTATAACACTCATGTATGCAAGAGTTCATAAGTTGATGGTTATAATTTTATTAACTACACCAAATTGCAGCAAAAACCAGAGATAACATTTAACTCTGGACAGATTTACATCATTATTATTGATGCACATGTCTCTCTAGCATGTGCCATGCATTCGGATAGTGGAGTGTGGCTCGAAGTAAGAGAGCGGGAAAAAATAAGGAGGAAGAGAGGGAGGGGGAGAGAGGAGGGAAAAAGTTGTCAATCAAGCAACGGGCGACAAACCTTGCTGTTAACTGAATTATTTCGGAAAAAATATGTATGTGTTGTGGTTCAATTTTATCCTTGGTTTAAATTTTATTTTCTTTTGTTTCAAACTCATTATCATACATTACCATACCCAAAAACAAAAGAAAATAAAATTTAAACCAACGATAAAATTGAACCACAACATATGTATTCAGAAAAAAAAAATCTTTTATATTTGTTTTCAGCAAACAAATATATCCCTTACCTCTAAAAATGGAAGAACTGGCAAGCAACACCCGTTCCACTTTCTCTGCCGGTGGTATTCACTCAGCAGATCATATGCTAGCTGCTGTTGGGTGTACCGGAACAAGCTTTTATTAAAAAGTACTATAGGCATTCCCTCACTCTCACCCCCAACCCCACCCCCTCTCTGTTTTTTTGTTTCTGCTCACATCTCTTTGCATCTTATGTCTCTCTCACAAAACGTCTCCAGCAGATCAGGGTTTTCAGAGAGTTTTGAAGTAGATGGTTGAGTTGTCAAAGTAAGGGGCCAGTCCAGCGATATTTTATTCAAAAAATGCCATCCATAAAGAAATGCCAAGTAGGGTAGTCAGCCGATACTAACCAAGAAGGCAGGGATTTTTCCCAGCAACCTGCTACTTTTGACAACCCTGCAGATGGTGGCAATGTTTACAGACTAGCCTGCAGTTACACCAACCACCGTATTTTTTTATCAACATTGATGAGTCCCTGGAATGTGAAATAGTCCAACAATCTTTTTCAGTCAGATTGTTTATTTTTTTTAATGATTACACAAGAAACATCTGGTTTAGCAAAGACAGACTCCTAAGTGAGAAAATAATAAGTAAACAGATTACAAAGAAAATCACAAGTACCATTAAGATGGCTTACGAAAAGTTTGGAAATGCTTATTTGTTCACTTTTGAGAAGTTTGAACTTGATTTTTTAAAGGAAAACAGAGTCTCTTTATATTTTTGTTTGATAATAATCAAACATGAGGCATAACATTGCATGAAGGATGGGGTAGGGGGGGGGGCTCCATTTTGCCTTTTCGACAATGGTAAAATATCAGAAAGGCCATTTGGAGCAAAGTGTCTCAACTAATTTTGTTGCTAATACCGCCTAGGGTGGACTTTATCAATTAGCACAATCTGAAGAGGTTGTAACTAGATTTTAAAACTGGATGGCTTCAAGATTTGGTAGAAACAATTTTTAGTTTCTGAAGAGCTTATTTTTATTTGAAAATTTTTTTGCCCTGTCGCATGATGAATAAGTGTAATGAAAATACTCACTAACAGTGCAGCCGACACTTAACTGAGCTGTTGAAAATCCCAAGGCACGTTAAAGTACTTATTCAAACCTCTGAGGTAGCAACGTAAAGTGTAAAGTTTGATTCTGCCAGTAAGAATTCATTGTGCTGTTGCAAATTATTTTAATTATCCCTTAAGTTCCACATGATTTTGTCAGAGTCTGCTCGGAGGTAGCCTGCGCTGCAGATGTAATCAAACCCCAGATTGTAAGGTCTGTGAAAAAGACTCAGAGTCCTTGTTCTACGCCCCCACCAGTGTACCAGGATCTGAGTAAGCATAATGATTGGCCTGTTAAAGAAGCCATTGTCAATTTGCCAATCAGCTGGAAAGGAAATTCAAAACGCACTTCCAGTAATATTTTTATTCCCTGATAGGGGGCTCTGAACAAGGATCTTGGTGTAGCTTAGCAGGCATAACTAACCCGGGTTTGATTATGTGAGGGGGTAGGGGGTACTGTGGATTCCAAGGGAAGGGAAAATCAAAGGATTTTTGTGGGGGTTGAAAATTCTTGATTGCAGGATCGTGTGGGGTTGGAAAATTTGGCAAATATTTATTTCAGGTACTTTCTGGGTTGTAATTTTTTTGCCCTTATTCGATTATTTCCATCTCTTGAAATATTAACCCCTTCCCCCAGGTAAAACCGTTTTAGGCTGTGATCTGGGGACATCGTCAGCTGTAGGGATTATGGGTATTTTTGAGGGCAAAGAAAAGTCATAACTTTGAAATCAGCCGCAGCATTGAGTTTTCAATCGAAAATTCGGTAGCTCTAAGGAAGAGTAAATGGAAATTCATTTTGAATTAGTTTTCTTAAAACATAAAATGGAAAAACAAAAATTTTTGTTTTGATTCTTCAAGTAGTGATCGGTGGAATTTCAGATCACTTTTTCTAATCTTCCAGGGAGCGAGGACGGCATTTCTTAGAAATAGGCTGGAGTGTAAGGCGGCCAAAACATGCCGAAAGATACCGAAAAAGACACCGCTAAGTGCTGAAAGTTACCGAAGTCAAGACTGAAGAAAATATGCTGATAGTCGCGGCGATCCAAACAGAAGCTCTGTTGCCGAGACGAAAACGAGGATATCGGAGATTTTATCAGACTTAATGTCGCAAAGTCATGTTCTTAAAGTGGTAGAAAATTCCCAATGTTTTCTGATTTTGATAATACCACATTTGCTCGTTTCTACGATCCGTTGATAGGGAAACGAAAATACGTACTTAAGAAAATCGTGAACGGATGCGTTTTCATCCTCTTCTTGAGGATGGTGTGTTTGCCGCGCGAGAACCAGCACGCGCGATGAACACGCGTGCGTTTGCGTGTGGTCTTGTTCCATTTTCAGGAAAAAAAGTTATTTTTCCTCTCTACATTTTTGCCGAAAAAAATTTGGAAATCTGTTTACCTGTGAGTGCCTTTTCGATGTTGGCGAAAAGATTTCTGAAAGATATTAGCTGTACATTGTAAAACTGCGCCCATTTTTTTTTTTTTTCTCGGTTCTTTTTCTGTCCTTTTTTGCCTTTTCATTAATAACGCCGCTTCAAGTCGGAACAGCCAGCCTACTTTTCTTTTCAAAAATTAATTTGAATCGCAATTCATGAATATATCAACGAACTACTTGTCCTTGTTCAGTCAAGTTCAAGCGAAAGTTTAGCCGTTCAGCAGTTTTGTTTTTTAGGTTAGGAGATCGTCTCCGCATTGGGTAAACGTGTCGAAACATTTACCACTTTTCGCAGGTGAGTAGCGACCAGCGGGAAGCCTTTGTAGTAGATCGTCGGTTTCTTCTTTTCTTTTTTTTTTTCTAATTCTTCATTTGAGGCGGCGTCGTGTCGATTCGCTTCTCTGAGTGCATCAGACGCAGCCGCCGTTTTTTGAGGTACTGTGGCACATCAGTGTGTTTTATTTCATAGGCTGCTCGTACCAGGTCAATTATAATTAGCATAGCTTACGACTGCTTTGGCAGCACGGAGTTTACGTAGCGATGTCGTTGCTCTGTATAAAGGAAGAGTATGGAAGCATGAAACCTTGCAAGGTAACATTAATTCCCTACATGTTTTACTTCAATGGAACAATTTCAAACAACGCTGAAAAAAATCCCGGGTGAACGTTACATCGCAGATTTTTTAACGTGTAACAATGACCTTAGCGAGCGCATGCTGCAACATCCGTTGTATCGTCTCGTTTTCGTGCTTGTTTTTTAGTCTTGTTATTTTTACATGACAGTTTTTCTTACAAACTTGGCAGGTGGATAATTTAAGACAGTGCCTAACAAGTCATTTATGGTCTGCATTTTCTGTGTTGTTAACTTGAAACATTTTTTATGGAAGAATTCTAGTTATCGTATAAATTGTTTCCGTGGCACGCGGCCCAATAATTGTTTTATGTTACCCCTTCTAAACTGTTCTTTAACGGTGAACTTTCGTTTTGAAACAACTTCAAGAATGCTTTTGAAATTGTTTTCGACATCTTGTATGCGACCATTTGGTTTTCTTTATTCGTGACTGTTTGAGGTATGATATGAATTTCGTAATTTCATGTTTTTGCTGCTCGTTCATTATTACGAAAGGGTTCATTTGAATATAACGGAAATTTTATTTCGTCAAATATCAGACACTCCTCTAATAGAAACTGTTGCGTCAAACTTATTTGTTAACATAGCCTTCTAATTCTCAACTGCATTAAGAAGAAAATTTGTTTTCATAATTCATGAAAGTCTTGACAGTTTTTTGTCCCACAATTTTAATGCTAGACAGATGACTGAATACTTCATTCTCTGCCAGACTTGATTTATATTTTGCTTTGGTGTGGACCGCTTAAGATATCTTTCGCTTTATATTATGATTGTATTGAATAAGAGCTTTTTAATGTCAATAGTCAATGGGAAGGGAATAAAACAGATCTATAAATGACAGATAATTCGACTTGAGCTAGATGACCTCTCCTATCGCCTTGAAATCCACCTGCCCGCTTTTACAGTTTGCACGTGCGAAGCGAGAAATTGTCTTGAATAGGTTTAAATTAACATCATTTGTCTTGTTTGTAAAATGATCTTGCTGGAAAGAAAAACAAAAGATCCTTCAAAGGTCGCTTTTTCGACGTTTCCAATATAGCTTTAGATTGCGATCCGTTTTATTTGTTTTTCAACCGGTCTTGTAGAGGCTTTGGTTCACATTTCCTCCTCGGCCCTTGAAAACAAAACGTTTATACCCCACGTCAGGGAATTAGTAAAAATCAGTTTTAATGAAATTAAAACTCGCTTTTTTAATTCCTCAGAATGAAAATGCTCAATCTCCCATCTGTGCTAAAGTCTTGGTAGTTTTTTCTCTCTCTAAAGTAGCGTCTTGAAACAAAGAAATGTTATCTAGCATGTTCTCCTCTCATTTTCTTTTTTCATATTTGAAACTTAACTCTTCTCTGCCGTTATATGTTAGTTAACCATCTTTTTTCAATGGCTATTAAAATCCATCTTGATATGAAATGCTATTTATATATCGCAATAATGTTTTACATTGCTATATGATTGGCTGTATTAATTGAAAAAAAAACTTTTTGGCCCTAGAATTTTCGTTCAAACTTTCGATATTGTCCGTAATCTGCGTTTCAGGGCCTTTTAAGAATCATCCAAACACAGACCTCTTTCTTGAATTATTCAGTTTACGTAAGAAAAGCCTTTTGGTAAATGCTGTGAGTAATTTAGCGTACCTTGTTAAAATTACTATAATGATCTCTATGTATTTTGAAATGCAGTTTTATATTTGTCCAGATTTGAATTTGTATGGACTCGTTGTAGAGTTAATGTTTTCAAACTTCTTGTGACATTTTTGTGTATTGTCACTGTTTCCTGCGAGTTTGGACAATTTATTCTCACCTCCCAGCCATATATGATCATTATTTTAATTTAAAGTACGTTTCAGTGTCCTGATCTAATCAATAATTCATCAGCCTAAACCTTTCAGTTCTAACAATTGTCCAGAAACTAAAACAGCGCATTAAATACCGTTATTTCCGGTGGCGAAACATATTACGACTCAATTGACACCGTCTTTATACGTTTGAAGACTTACTGTACCTTCTTAGAAAGTGAATCTCCAAAACAGAAAAACACTGACAGCTTAATTCTTAAAACAGAGCGGAAAACGTTAACACACCTTTGGTATAAAGCGATAGTTGTAATGTAAACGAATCAGTTTGTCTCATCCACGTGAGTTAATCGAAAATCGAGTTCCCCTTGTTTGCGTTTTCAAATTTCTTTCGTTTAATCGCTAATGTAAACTGGAGTAACGCCATTTAACTGAAAACTTGAAATATTTTTAGCAAATGCTCGTGACCCACGCCTTTTATTTACCTCCCAGAAAATTCCAGCGATTCATCGCTTTTGTTTTGAGAGCTGTCGGGTACAGGAAAATGCAAATTGCACTGAACACCCTTTAGTTCTGCCTGTTGTTTCAAAATACCAGAAATGGTTGCTTTAGCACAACAAAAGTTAAGTGCACTAAAAACAAGTGATAACAAAAGTGTAATAAATAATAACGAAAGACTTAACCTTCCGTTCTTGACAAGGATTTTTATTTCTTTATATTACCCTAGCAGTATTTCAAACGATGAAAACACTGGCTTCCTCGAAAAGGAGAACAGGTTTTCGCGACATTATAAACTCACGAGAAAAAAGGATTTGCTAAAATGCTTAATATCTTTTTTAGTTTAATTCGCGAAGATTTCTCTAAAATTTTGTTTCTGTTTTGTTGACTCGGCATATTGTAATTTTTAACGTTTTCTCGTTAATATAATGTAGTAGAGATGCAGAAAGTAAAGGCGACTTAAGGTATAATTCAGGTTTGGTAAAGGTTTGGATTTTCGGCAATCTCGCGCAGCCTGTCCTAAAAATATTTTATGACCTACCTCCGGGGTTTGAAAGTTTGATCCAAAGCCGAGTGCGGAAAGTCGTGTTTACCATTTGACAATTTTTCTTCCGTTTTTCTGAAGAAAACGAAAACGAACTTTTATGTATGATTTCAGTTGTTAATTTCCTCAAAAGCAGAAATTTTTGCTGTTGGTTCAGCTCAATATTTTTAACTTGGCCCGTTTTTCCCTCAAGAGACAAAACGCTTCGAAAGTACGTGTTGTGATTCAAAAACAACGCAACTAATGTATTGATCGCTGTGGCTGGTTTCAACACATTCAAACACAACTTCAATTTGAATTTTATACACAGAACTTGAAATGTGCGTGAAATTGTCTTGAGTGAAAATCAATTTATAGTTCGGAAGCTGACCACATTTCCAGCAAGTAGTAAAACTTAAAATCTGTTTTTTCGTGTCGAAGCGTTCTTCGTCCATGTTTGGGACGAGTCAAAGACTGAGTGTGTAAAACGTGCATCACTTTAGCAATATTTGCCCATTTCAAAAGCAACGTCCAGTGATCAATAGAAGACAAAAGGAGGCAACATTTTGTATGTTATATCGATTTCCCTGAGGAGCTCTGCTCCTCCCACTTAATCCATTTGACCAATCACAGCCCGGGATCGCTTATTATTATGTCATGTTATATTGGCCTATTTGAAACCTGCGAGACTTCGAACAATTTTGAGTCTTGCGGGTGGTTTGGTCAGCCCCACAACCGAGTTAAATACCATCGCCTTCTTCCCGACCTCATTGTGCCCGAGCTTACTGTTCTTTCATTTCGCCAGATGACCACTGCTTGCGAGGAAAAATCTACGGCGACTTTTACTCGCGAAGTTGGTGACCAGTCCTCGGTAAGTATTCGCGTTTTGGATCAGTGCCTTGGTCTAACTTATTACAGTAACGTAGTTTGGGTAGAATTTTTTGTGTACTCGCTAACCTGTTAGATGAGAAATTGTTTGTTTATCTTGATGGATAAAGGCAAACGATTGCTGCATGAAGGAGTAATTTGAACAAAAGTGTGATCCCATGTTTTTAAATCTTTTAGATTAATATAAAGTTCTCTAGGAAGTTGATTAAAACCTTGCTTCCTTTCTCTGAATCAATTTAACTATGTTAATGTTGTTCTCTAGAGTCAATCGCCGCCTCGCGCGCGAATCTTGCGAAAAGACTCCGTACGAGTAACAACCAGCTGATTAATTATATGCCTCCACATAAAACGCATTTCATAGTGGCTGATACAATTTTAACCTTGATTTTCTGTTATTAGGCACACGGAGAGCAGTGCGCAGGCTGTAAAGGTCGAATCATGGACAGATACTTAGTAAAAGTGAGCGGTAAAACCTGGCATACCAGTTGCCTTAAATGCTGCATGTGTGGCCTTGAACTCGGGAAAGAAGCAACATGTTACACCAAGGAGGACAAGATCTACTGCAAAACAGATTACGCGAGGTTTGTTCAGTTATTTGTTTGTTTGCATGATCATATATTATGCTTCTAGCTTGTGGATGGTTACGCGATCTTTGCAAGATTTTAGCTACCGTATGAGATATATAGTTCACACGACATGTTGGCGCGACCATACATCATGAAAGGCGTCGTACCTTTTTTATCGTTCGAATACACAAAACAAGCGCAAAGGCTTCATTCACTTATAGAAGTGATATTTAGGGGTTGTATTCTGACTCATAATTATTCGTAGTGGTGTTTTAACCATGTTCGATAGATAATATATCCGGCTTTCGTTGAAATTTTTTTTGGTCAAACTCGTTCCAACGTTAAGGTAAACAGTCATTTAAATTTAGCGTCTCGAGCAGAAATTTGCAGGTTTACAAACCTTTTTTTATTTGTTATACTGATGTTTCCATTAGGAAGCGAGTGAGAATTAGTCTCACCAACCTATTTTATGCTGGACGGTATTAAAGACCATTAAACCGTATATGCTTGGAGATTGGTGAAATTAGCATATTCCAGTTTTCTCTTTACATTGAAAAATATAGAGACGCTTTATAGAATAAATGTCTTCAATTTCCCACTCACGACTTGAAAAATTAGTGCGGTAAGCAAGCTCTCTGTCGAAGTTTGAAAATATATAATCTCATTGTGTTTTATTTATCATTATTTGCTTTCTTTGAGTATTTATTTTCAAGGTGAGACGGTGTGGTTCATTTGTTTCGATCTTCCTTGACCGTTAAACAATCAGACGCCCGAAACGTAACAAAGGTTTTCCTGTGAGGTTTAAAAACCGAAGCTTCGGGCAAGAGGACTGAATATGGGGCAGATTGTGTTAACTATACCACAAAAGCTATTTTTTATGCAGTCAACAGCTAAAACGTTAATCCTTTGACACGCCATCCCTAACAATATCAGTTTTTTAAGTGTGCTTTTGAGTTACCAAACAGAAAGCTAAGCCTTTTTTTCTTTCATGTTATTCCTAAGACATTTTAGTTCACTTTTGAGTTTCATATAGGCGTCAGAAAAAAGTACCATGCGATTTGCGAGTCAGAATGCGCGGATCGAAGCTTCCTTTCTGTTGTGGACAGAGCGACCATCAACAGAGACAAAGTGACTGCATTTGTGAATATCTCTGATCCATTTTATCGCTTTCACCAAGGACGATAAAGTTGTAATTGTTTTTTTTTTCTTTTCGTCTGTGCGCCCTTCTTTTTATTGTCTTTATTTTCCTGTTTCCTGTACATCAAGTGCGGTATTTCTTAGCCAAAATTTTTAGTTAGTGTTGTTTAATTTCAACTTTGCGATCTTTGAATTTCCTGGCATAGACAAGAAAGGTGGCGACGTAGAAAGCCACCTGTCTTGGACGTGTGAATGTAAACATAGCGAACTGTGTTTAAAATGCAAACTGGTAAATTATTTTTGTCGCCTAGCCAGAAAATTTATGGGTAGCATTGTGTCCAAAAATGGGCGATTTACCAGTTGCAATTTATAGGAAAATAGTAAGCTTCCCTTGGAAAAATTTCCGTATGATTTTAAACTCAAATAAATAAAAATGAAGAGCGGATATTTTATTTACTGGAAGTACAAAATGAGGTCCCATTATTGCAACGAATATTTATTCAGAATTAAAAGTCATAGACAATCTCGTATAACATTTTGCTTACTTATAATTGTCTCAATTTAGGAAAAAAACTTTCAGCCGTCATTCCGTAGAAGAAAATTTTATTTTCCTTTTTATTCGTAAAATCTCCTCTTAAGTTTACGTGCAGATTTTCCAGTCAGTATGCCGGGGTAGGATATTGAAAAAATAATGATAATAATAAAACAATAACAAAAAATATATGATTGAAATTCGGTAGCTTAACTTCTTCGAGGAGTGACCTAAGCCGGCACTGAATGTTAAATAGAAGTGTTTACCGCCAAAGCACTTGCATCTCCTGTTTTTTTTTTATGAGTGAGTTTGATTTGGTCAAACTTCGCTCAATGTATTCTACTTACGAAGAAAAAGGTGATGAATCAAACCGAAGTGGTTTTAACGGTAATCTGTCGTCCCTGGCGATCGAATAGTGTCTATGAATTTGTTTTTGTCACTTTTGGTAATTGCGTTTAATTTTGATAGTATATTTACGCAAATCTTCTGTTTAATAACGCGCTTTTCTTCGTAAGTTATCAGCGTTCAGGCTTTCGTGTGTCGTCATTCACTTGTGTTCTTGAGGCAAGTTCTCAAGAGCTTTTTTCTTGGTGTTTTAACGGAGCTTTTTTTTTCGTTTAGATGTTATAGAAATTATATGAAAGTGCGCTAAGGGATCTTGTATTCCTTCTTTTTATGCGAGTGTTGTTTGTGCTCCGTTTTGGTCTTTGTCTGTTTCTGTTAAGTAGCGATCTTGGGCAATTACCAAAAGTCAGAACAAGGTAGCCAGACCGTTCACCTTGAAAATAAGATAGGCTTTCGGAGAGTTTTCGCCAAAAACCATCTGCGCTGTACATGGTATTTACTGATCTGAGTTATGGTTATTTTCTTTGCGAATGGGCTGGTCTGGCCGGCGGACCCGTTCTGACAGATGGTAAGCGCCATTACTTTATGCATGGTTCTACCATTATTAAGCCTGGCGTTTTTATTTCTGTGACAAAGCGTGTTTTACGCGCCATCTCTCCGTTCACCGCCATGCGGCTTCTAAATCAGAGTACATAAACCATGTTGTTATTTATCTCCTCACAGACAGTATGGTACCAAATGTGCGCGATGTGCTCGAAGCATCCACGCGAACGACTGGGTACGACGCGCGCGAAGCAGCGTGTATCACCTTGCGTGTTTCGCGTGCGACGCGTGTAAACGCCAGCTATCTACTGGTGAGGAGTTTGCGCTTAAAGAAGGACATGTTCTCTGTAAGTTACACTACATGGAGAGTTTAGAGGTGTTCCTGCCCGACAACTCTTCTCAGGAAGGTAGGAGGATTTTATAGTCTTATTTTGTATAATGGCCGAGAATGTTTCGTGAGTAATTCGCAGTGAATTTGTTGCCGTTTTGTTCGAAGTTGTGCTAATTTAGCGTAACCAAACATGCTAAGCTGCTTAACAGTACTTTTCCTTGGTGCTGTACTTTTATGCGGCACAACGGGTTTCAGTCCAGCTCGGTGCAGGGATGCCAAATGGCCATTTGAATAAAAGTTGATGAGCAGCATTTTCCTGTGGTGCTCATTATTAATAAGGTGCACAAAGTGGAATCTGTACAAATTCTTAAGATGTAAAAGGAGAGCTTCTCCTCCGGTACTGTGTGCTCAAATTTTGCTAGAACAAGGCAGTTGTCGACTTGCCACATGTTTTCCATCGCTTGACTATTTTGTATAAACTGGATTTCTTGCCTGATCCCTTGGCCATCGGCAAGAAAGCAGGAAAAGTTTCTCGCATGAACGTTAGAACTTCCTTGTCTACCATATCGCTATAGTGAACAGTTCTGCTTGGTGAGGTGTCTTCAGTTGAGTCGACGCAATTCGTTCGGGCTTCATCCACACAGTCACAAACGTTAAACTCAGTTCTAAATAAGAAGTGTCATTTGAAAGTGCACCCTGCCAGCACAGCCTTTCTTTCGCTTGCTCGATTTTGGGGTGAACGGTCGTTTCGTCTACGCGTCGTTTCGCTAACGTCCCGTTCGCTAACGCCTTAAAGAAGCGAAACGAGCGCTGCGCAAGTATAGACTTCGTTCTCTCAGCAATGATGATCCAAATACGTGCAACACGCATGTATATATCTCGTTGTTTCAGCCACTCATCAAGCGAAAGCAGTTTGGGAACTGACCCAACACTTACACGAAACGACTTCAGAAGTTAGCGAACAGGACGTTGGCGAAACGACTGGTGGGCGAAACAACTGTAAACCGTCTGGAAGTTTGGGATGCGGCGGCCTCAAAGGTTTGACGCGATTCAGGTAGAGCCTCCCAGCAAAAGGAGGCTCTGTTCACAGGGTGTTGAAAGTGTTGCTGAAGAAGTTTGATTTGAAAAGTATTATGCGATTTCATGCACAGACCCAAACATTACAACCATAAATCGACTCTAGGAGTGCGAGGGCTTCCTCAGGCCGACGGCTTTAAACATGGTGATTTTATGGTTGATAGTCCTTCTTTATGTCCTCTTCCTTAGTTGCCCTTTCTTTCTGCACTCAAAATGATGGAGGGATTGAAGACACGCTACAAGGTGATTGATTACGACCTTTCTTCTCACGTAAAAGTTGTCTGGCTGGCGCGCAAGTTCTCTTAGAAGATCATTTTATGAAAACAGTGACGTAGGCTTTACTGACCAGCAGAAATTGTTCCTTGACCCTGAAAAATGTCTCAAGGAATTTCTAATCAAACGACTGAATGTAAGCGCTCTTCAGTCCGTTCATCGCTAGCCTGTTTAATGTGGATGCTCTTGCAGTGTGTTCTCTCTCAGTGCTCTGTATTACTGAGGTTCGACTATAATTTTTTAGGTTCAACCATGTTTTCCTAAGTTTGGAGACTTGCTGTATAATAAGTGAATGGTGAACGGAAAAACCGTTAGGGATGCGTGAATCTTGTACTGAGTTGGACAGCTGATACGGTGACATTCCAACAAAATATAAAAAAGTGTCGAATGTTTTTAAGACACAATGAATTTTTCTTAACACTCAAGAAGGGTTATACAGCCGAAACGTTGTTTCTTAAAAACATTTGACACTTTTTTATATTTTATTCGAATATCATCCCATTTGGTTTATGGTAGCCAGCGAGCAAGCTCGCGTGATGAGCACGTGGAGGGAGACACGCACGTTGCCTCCCGGTTAGGTTCGCTTCGCGTTCCACTCAAGGAGAGCTTGCTCGTAGGCTTGCTGAATAAGTGAACCTCACTCTCTGCTTTGTCGGTTATTGAACGATCTGAGTAACGAACGATTTGTTTATCCTTAGACGCAGACAGCGAAGACTCTCCATCGAGTGGGGGAATCATAAAATGCAACAAAACAAAACGAGTACGGACCACATTTACAGAAGAGCAGCTTCAGATCCTTCAAGCGAATTTTAACGTGGACTCCAATCCGGACGGGCAGGACCTCGAGCGGATCGCGCAGTTGACAGGACTCAGCAAAAGAGTCACACAAGTGTGGTTTCAAAACTCGCGCGCAAGGCAGAAGAAGTACGGAACACCGCTGTTCACAGCGAGCCCGCGAACTCCGAGCTCGGCTAGCTTTTGATCTTTAGCGACAGTAATTTAGGTAAGGGCGTTTGTAATTGGTTAGAGCGCTGTACCGGTATCGCAGAGGCCAGGGTTCCAATCCCGCTAAGCCTGAATTGTGTTGAGCCTTCCTTTTCGCAACTGCATAAGTTGTGTATTTAGCTGTGATGACCTTCTCTGTACTTATTATTTAGCGTTTGTAGTGTTAACAAGAAAACATTACTTAGATTCATTATAATAATTATTCTCTTACTTTATAAGCTTATGTTTAACCCGCTGTCAGTAAGGTTTCGTCGACTCGCAGTCACGCGTCCTGAGACTGCTGAATTGGGATACACACCCTGCAATTAAGCTTTCAACTGACCTGCGAAATATGACCTTTCACCTCTTACGATAGACTTCTAAGTCCTTTCATTTTTCCTGGTTGGTTATGCCATTTCTACCTGTTTGGCGCCAAATTCATTAGTCGAAAATTCCACCGGTGACGTCATGACAAATAACTAATAGGAGAGTGAGTGATATTTGACGTCACTCCCGCCATAGCATATGTCAATCATTTTTTCCTGCCTGAATTTATAGTATGATCCGAATCTATTCAGGTGAAACAAGTCGACCACGCGCGCGACTTCGTCACTCGCACGGTCGCTACGCACCCTTATTGAAGCTCTCCTCGCTCGCATTTGACAACTTAAGAGAGGTCGACTTTAAGCAAGTCTACGTTTGCGATTCCCAAATGCAGAGTCCGCTTGCACGCTAATGTCCACTTACAAACGAGGCTTCGATGAGATTTGACATAAATGCTTTTAGCTGTTATTTGGAACTGAGAAACAACAGCCATCCCCTCGTATTCTGTGTTTCTCCAATAGCTTATTCCCAGTTCGTTCTTTTCTTTTGTAGATTTTAAAGAATGTTCGAATCCATTGCCATCTACATATATCACAACCTACAAGCCTATGTCAGCCGAGCGAGAATAGAGAACGGAGCCAGCACTGGATGGCATGGGCAGAGAGGCAAAGGGCAAAAATAGAACCTTTGCTCCATTTTCTATTTCTTTCTTTCATAATAACATCTCCTTCTGAGCGATTCTAGAACGTTTGGGCTAGGATTCAAAGAGTTCAATGTGTGGAGTAGAGAATGGGTCAGCTGCCTTGAGTGCATAGGCTCTGTTACTAAGCTGGTTTAAAAACAAGCTTCAGCCCGTGATCGCCTAATCTTAATTGGCCCTCAGGCTATAGTCACGTTATACCAGATAGTTTTTGCGCCTGCGCGATAGCCATACCGGATTGCTAGGGCTTCTGTTCACACATAAGAGCGGTGATTTTGGCGCAATTTCTGTAACGGAGCGAAGTTGCACCGTGCCGATCTCTTAAGTGGAGAGTCACATATCGGAAAAGTGTTATTGACTATATCGGATATCTTTTCGTGTAGGCACAAAAACCAATCCGGTATAGTGTAAATATAGCCTAAGCTGGTTTAAGGTATCTGCACAAGCCGTGATTGCCAAGAGACTGCAACAAAAGACAGTGTTATTATCTGGTTCTGAAACTAGTACATCTTCCCGTGATTTGGTGGTCTGCGGCAAACATGTTTGGCTTTCAACAGTCAACGGAAATTAATTCTACTTGAAACGTACAGAAAAGATAAGCTAATTTTTAGACCCTTCTCGGTTATACTCCATCCACGCCAAATAAACATGTTTAATTAAACAAAGTTTAAAAAAAAAAAAAATGAAAATCAGACTAGAGAACGGGAACACAGCCTTTTAACACAGGAGTAAAATGAACTTCAACATGTTTCGTAATTTGCGCTAAATTTGCAATCAACTTAGGTCGTAAGCAGTTTTTATGAGGGAAACAGTTTTAAACTGTCTTTAACCAAATAACTTTTAAACTTCTTTAAGCTTTGGTGTGGATGGGGCAATCGTATTTTTTTTTTTTTTTTTTTGTTTTTGGTTTGTTTGTTTGTTTGTTTTCTTCGCCAATTCGTGCGAGAAAGACTGATCTCCTTCCCAGGCTTCGTTGTTTACTTAATTCTCGCCCGCTAAGGAAGAGAAAGCTTGGATCGGGGTTAATTATATAAAAAAGAAAATGTCTGGCTTGATATGGCCATGGTCCACGTTGTTCTTGTTTGCGGAAACAGGACTGTACCGTGTTTTGTTCAATGCATGTCACATACCATTGTAATATAGTGCCCAAAGAAAAAAGAAATGATATTTAACGTTTTCTTATGCAAGAAATGAATGTACATTATAGGTGATAGCTACGTGTAAATTTTGTCCACTGGCTAGAAATTAACGCGCCTCCTTTGGTAGAGGTACAAGCTGTACAACTGATGCAATTTTAAGTTGCTATTAAAAAGTGGAAATTCTCTCAAAACTGTGTGTTCCTTCCCATAATCGATCGTCGATCCTTAGCGCTTCCCATTCTCTTTGTGGTACATCACACCTTTGTAAGGACACCTTTCAACGACGGACATAGTGTCGGACGAGCGGCGTTAAGAATAGTCTGTGAAAGAAAGCTAAAATTTCACGACGCCCTCACTGCTTTCTTTGGGAAATGATGTTTGAGAAACGACTGGAAAAATTCCATATTGATGACGTTCACTACCCAGATCTTGGTTGTGCTCTTGATTGGTTGAACCAAATTTCGCTCGCGGCACGACCAGTCAGAAGCACTTTCCAGATCTTGGTAGTCACACGTCATCAGTATGGATTTTCTGTAGTCGTTGCTCAGACGTCATTCGCGGGGAAACCAGTAATGTCAGCTGTTTTATGGGGCTACGGTAGAAAGGCTTCACTCTGTCTTCTTAATGAGACGTTAATTCTTCCCTACTATGAGAAACACTGCATAAAGTCCTTAAAGATTTCTATTTGAGCATTCGCTTAGCGTTTTATTGCTGTTTTCCAACAATTAAGCCGCAAAATGTTTAGGAGATAAGTCAATGGCACCACTGTTGACTCCCCTTGATAGTCCCTCAGAACAAACTACCACAATACAAGCGAGACGACGGTGAGAATGGGATCGAGGCTCATCGGCTCTCAGTCGACTGGCTTCAGAAGATCAGAAGTTGGTTCAACTGAAGGGAGTATGTCAGCCCAGTCCCTCTCGAACCCAGGGAGTTTGCTTTTCGGTAATAGAATCCGGAATAGAAGTAACTGTTCAGATATGGTTGTAGTGTTGAGATGCCCGGAGTCTTTAAGGCTCTGTCTTGATGATTATTGTGCCCGAACTGAGTCAATAGGAGTCATCATTTAAATGGAGAACGGTTATGTTTAAGATGAGTTCTCCTGCTATTTCCTTTTTGAACTTCAGAACTGCCTGCTTATTGCAGTTTCCCGTGTTGCAACTTCTACACACTTAACGTTTCTCACTTCAAATGGAATGTGGAACCTACTTTAGACTCATTGACTTTAGTAATAGTTTCCTGTAATTTGATAGGCTAAAAGACGTAACGTGACTCTATCAACTATCGGGTATCAGCATGTATGAAGTTGCTTTGAACTGCTCCTTCTAACAGCATGCGGGCTCCAGCTGAAATGGCTATAAAGGGTGTGTATAAAAAAAATTATAATAAAAACGGTGTCTCTTGCCATTCCAGTCTTTTTTGCCCATTTTGTCGCAAAGTTTAGTCATGGAGATGAAGAATTCAAAAAACAATTGCATGCTCGTGATACGCTCACATGCGCAGACTGTGCTTCTATTCGTATTATTAATGTTATTTAACTTATTTTTGTTTAAGTTCTTCTTTAATATCGGCGCTCTTTTTACAATGTATTTATGTTGACTATGAATGAAGCGGAACAGCCCCGCGTCATATCTAACGAATTCCCCATATTTTTAAAGACAAAGAATAATTCTCGCGGGCAGCATATACTACCTACTTTCAGTGAATGTTCAGTCGTCAGTAAAAAAGACCCTATTTTATTGTTCTCTTATTAGGGTTCGTGCTTATTCAAATTTAATTGTCCTCTAGAATGTTGTTTTTCTTTACTCAAAAAAATAAATCTATACCCGCGAAGGCGATTAGTTTTGTTTAAATGAAAGTCACGGTTCTCGAGTTATCTAATCAAACGTAAAGTTGGCGGGAAAATAAATCATTTGTCAGGAAGTGCAGATAAGTCCTGCTAAGCCTATTTTGTTTAGCCCTATGTACTTTACAGGTACGCTCAGCAGCAATTGTCAGTTTGTCTTCAACAAAAGTGATAATTTTAGCGTGCTTAACATGTATCATGCACTACTGTACTTTACAGGTACGTTTAGCAGCAATTGTCAGTTTGTCTTCAACAAAAGTGATAATTTTAGCGTGCTTAACATCTATCACAACTTTCCGTGCGTCATGCTCTTTTAGGAGTCTCGGAAAAATGATTGAAGAAAAGAAGATCATCAAATGATGCTCAAACTGGGGTTAATGCATGCATGAACTGAGATGATGCCGAATGAAGTGGAACATAAATTCCTGCGTGTTAGCATTTATTTGCCTTTGGACACAAAGTTTGACTTGCATGACAGATTGACAATTACTTTTGCGCCTAAAATGATAACTACATCTAAACCTCCAGGTTATTACGAAAGATTTTCTCTTACCAAAACTGGTACGAAATTGTATAAATAACCCTAAAAGAATAGAATAGAATGACTTTTTTAGGGGTAACCCAAACACTTGTGACCTATAGATCGTTTTCAGTCACGTGGTCAGCAGCTTTGCAAATTGCTTGGAACAAAAGAAAGTTTTAACATGTGAAAAGAGATCAATTTCCACAGGATTGTTTTTGTACACAAACATGGCTGCCGATTCATTGTTTTGTACACAAATATGGCCGCCGTGACGTCATGTGAAAACAATCTATAAGCCAGAGTTTACTTTGTGGCCGAAGGCAAACCATTTGACTGTTTACAAATGAGTATGACCAAGGTCACCAAGGCTAAATTCGGGACGACCAAGAACTGCCTCAGTCATCGGCCCGAGCATTTGAAACTGTTGCGACGGGGTTGATCCATCGCCAGTTAAATCCTTGGGCCTCGCTGCTTTCCGGTAAAGAACAGAAGACATGTAATGAGGTAAACTAAGATAAGTAATTAATTATACCATTCCAGAGAAGTCACTGATAGGGTGGATATTTGTACTAAATTATCATCAATTATGCATGTTAAATTCATGTAGTATAAAACACTCAGCCGAATCGTCGTTAATTCATATATCAGTGAGCCATCGTCCGCGTCCCGCTTTGAAGAACGTTACAACTTACTCAAAACTTGTTAAATTAGGTAGGTTATGAAGTTTTTCAACTCAGTTTATATCTCATGAAGTTCTATGTTAGCAACATAGAAATACTTTCTATTATGGCAAAAGTTTTTGCTTCCTTTGTCGCCAAAATGATACATTGTGCAGCTAGATAATCACAACAGGCGCGAAGGGTAGCTAGTTACAGAGAAACTCAAAAGGTCCTGAGAAGTCTTTTCGGATGTCTTTTTATATCAATCACTTACCGGCGGTGTGTTAGGCTTCTCGTACTTTTTTTACTGCGAAACTGTTTGAAATCTCTACTGAACTTATTGATTATACGATTGGGTTGCATCACTAAAGTTTTCGCGCCATTTTTGTTTTCACTGGAGACATTGTGAGGACCTCTGTGTTTCAGTTCCAATAGTGCCCAAAATCAAACATCAATGACAAAATATAAAATTAGTAAAAAAACAGCATTATTTTTAAAAAAGAAGAAGCAATGGGATTTTATTTCGGTAAAATGACTACACGCCAGTACGGATCGTGAAGCACAGATCAAACTTCTTTAATTAGTCCACTTTCAGCAAACTAGTACATTTACTTCGTCTCTGTCTCATTTCGTACAGTCAGCGATCAGTTTTGCAAGATGAAGGTCATTTATGCCATACTGCTAGTTGGAGTTGCCTTGACGTTCTGCTCAGCGGCGAGGTACGCTTACCGCTCAAGGCCGCATACACGAGACGGTAAGTGAGAGTTAAATTAAACAGAAACCCTAATTCATGCAAAGAAAACAAATTCAATTACATTGTAACGTCTTGTATGTCTTTACAATCTATTCCTTATTTGGAATTTTTCACGTGACCAATTGATATAAAAAATTTGAAACTAGAGCTGTATAATTTTCAGAAATTTCAGTCAGCAAGAACTCCAACTTTTCATTTCAGTCCTAAATGGTGAGATCCTGTGCCGGTTTAATTTCAACCTGTAATAGAGCTTTGTATGGAATGACAAGGCCTTGCCATCCAATTAAAGTTTAATCTCTTTCAAAAGAAAAAAGTTCTTCATTATAGTTAGGAAAAATAAAATCGTTGATTATGACACATAAACTTTGGGGGTTGTAAGGCGAAAGGGAGAGATTTAACGACGGTTTTAAAATTTCAAAATTTATGAGGGTTTGTATTTATACGTTAGCTAAAACTGCGTTTTTTGATCTTTTTTCGAAGAGCATTGTTTTCGTATTTACAGAAAGTTTTTCACGTGACCAAATGGAGCAAAGTGATGAAGAGGGGTGATGGAAAGACCCTGACTTGTCCCCAGTCGTTTTCTTAAAGCGCACGGTGCTCTCCTCCTTCCCATCACAACCTGCGCGCGAGAAACGACTGGTTTCGAGTCAGGAAAAGACCCTGGGAAGGAGATAGGGAAGTAAGGAGTAAGGCAAGGCAGTTTGTCAGATTACACAAGCCAAGATTTACCCTGTTGCCTTGAAGTAGTAAAAATAACCGCAAGAATGGTAAAAGCAAAGAATTATTTAGCCTGAATTTCATCCGATTGCTTCGAATCATTTTCTCCTCTCTGTAATAACGACTCGAAGTAATCGGATGAAATTCAGGCTAAGAATTATTGCAACTAGACAACCGCTAAAATGCATACATTTATTGGGACACAGCCTCACGCAGCGTTGCCGTGAAAGGATCTTTTGTGTAATGTAAGACTTTTCACATTGACCGTTTGTTCACAGATCTTGGAATCTGTGAAGCGTGCAAAGACATAAATAGCGGCTGTCCCTGCTGGTATGTCGACCTGTGCTCCGAATGCTGTGGAAAGAACCACTACAAATGTACTTCCAGTGACTGTAAGTATTTTCAATACCCTTTGGAACTGAACCATTAGTCTATAAGTATTACGTCAGGGGCACCCAACGTCAATTTTCGGAAAACATCTGTTCGGAAGACGATTTGAGATCTAGAATTTTCGGAACATTTGTGGTAAAATTTCTTGCTTGCCTGCCTCTCCTAGGATTTTCGAACATCTAAAAAGTGGTATGATTGCCCATTTTTAACGGATTTTTAACCTAAAAAGGTCACCTAGAATTTTCGGGAGCCTTTTTTCTGGCTGGAATTTTCGAAAAGGTAAGTTTCGATCCCTATAATCACGGATCACTAGAATTTCAGCTAGGAAATCCGAACAGATAAAAAATTTTTAGGGGATAAAAATATGCGTACGTATATCGTTTAAATACTAAAATACGTTTAACAATGCTACGTTTAAGTGGTTTTGAACTATATTCTCGTTGGGTGCCCCTGTTACGTACTTAGATGCTATGCTCAAATCTCCCAAGTCAAAATACTTTTGTATTTTAACAATAAAAAAACAAACGCAGTTTGTTTCATTATAGATTCCGTTATAACAAGAAGTTAACGTTACTGTTAACGTGATATCGAAAAGCAGTTATAGGTAAGGGTAAAAGAATACAGAGACACCAAATGTAATGATGCGTTTGCCGTGCCTATCGGGGATTTTCGAAGATATACTTAACAATTAGTTCATGCGGCAGCGTGCGTATGTCGAGATATTGAGCACGCGGGAAGTTTGGAGAGCACGAAAGAGGCGTAAGAGTTGCACGAGGCGCAGCCGAGTGCAACTCTAGCCTTTTGAGTGCTCTCCAAACTTCCCAAGTGCTCAATATCTCGACATACGCACAGCTGCAGCATGAACTAATTGTTTTATAACATTATCAAAGCGATCAATGCAGCAGTTAACTGAAAATTTTAAGCAGTACGCGTTAATGATTACGTGACTATATTTTTTTTCCTCACAGTTAATCTTATGTTTTTATCCTGAAACTGAGAGAAAGTGTACTCTAAAATGATTGCAAAATCCATATTTAGGTGCCGGAAAACTTTTAATTTACCGAAAAATTGTTATTGAGAGAAAACAACTTTGCAAAGAATGATCTCACGCCATAGCCCGCACAGCTCGCCGAGATGACAACAACAACAACAACACTCACCTCTTTTCCTTACTATCGGTTAACAAATTCAAACCTTTCCTCTTAAATTTCCTTATAAAACACATGGTAAACGCTTCATTGTCTATTGCTGAGTTATGGATGCACTCGGGAGACTCAGGATTGCTAAGCTCCCAACAACTCGAGGAATTACGAATAGTTTATTGACGTCATCAGCGTGCTCAATAGGAATATGAAGCACGCTCGCGCTATTGAATTTGATTAGGCGAATTTTCTAGCTATGTTATAAAGCTATTTCGAGAGAGGTTGTCGGAAAAAGTGCACGCGACAACCCCGAAAGGCATTGTGGGTGGTTTTAAGTTCACTGCTTAAAAGAAAGTTGAAAGAATTGGTACGAAAGGCCGCGGAAATGTGTTTGCGAGTGCTAAAGGAAAGCCAACAAAAGTAGGTTCGACAGGTACAGTCGTCAGAAACAGTGTAATGATCATATCCCGTATTACCTTTCGAGATTGTCGCGTGCACATTTTTCCGACAACCTTTCTCGAAATAGCTGTATATTTTAAAACAATTAGTGCTCTATCAACCGTGCTAAACCTGTAGCTGTTAAGTTAGGTGCAAAAACTGAGAAAAGAAGAATTCTACCGCAAACAGTAGAATGGAGTAAAACAGTAAAAGGTCAAACCTTAGTGTACGACTGATCAAACACAAAAAGGAGCTTTGATTTTCGCGTTCAGTAGACATTGTAACGGCTGTTTCTATGATTTTATATTCCAGGCGACAAATCACAATCTGAAATGCCGGATTGGGTCCAACGCTGCAACCCAGGTAAGAGAAAAGTTTGATCAGTTTCAAAGTAACATAGTTCTCAATCAAATCCAGAGTTAAAATGTCAGTCGCGATTACAATGAAACATTTCCCACGCGTGTGTGACCGCCTCTTTCAAGATTAAAAAAAATATATGACACATCAGGACGCCGAGAATACCGGGACCAACTGTCATTGCTTTTTCCTCCGTGTGCCACATAACATGATGTCTGTCCGCCAAAACCACGGGAAATTGGTTTTCTTTACCCTGTCTACGGTCATAATTCGATCTGACTGTTATAAGCATTTATTCATGCCGTGTCGAGGAATAGAATTCAGTTTTTTATTTCACCAACTTCAATTTGAAATTATTTTTTTCTTTCTCTTTCAGCAAAGAAGTGATCTATGAAACAGCCGCCGATATACACTAAGAGCTGACTGAGGGTTTTGCTGACGGAAAGCCCGCAAAAGTTTTCCACGGAAAAGGAGTAAAAGAACCCCGTAATTTGTTGCAAAGTTTAGGCTATGAAGGCCCGTTCTGGTCAAAATTGCATGATTAATTTTTCCCTCTTGATGAATTAATTTGATGAGTACCTGCTATTAATATTTTGTCTGTTTGTAATTATTTTTTCCTATGCCTGTAATTATTTTCGTGTTCTTTTTAACTTTTCCATGCGTCACAATTATTTTTTCCTCACCAGGAATTAATTTTTTTATGTGCCATCTTTATTATTACGCTTCTTTGAAATTATTTTTGTCCATTACATTTGATAATTAATTGATTTTGTCCTACGCAACTCATAATATAATGATAATTTAATTTTTTCCATTCGAGAATTATTTTTTTGTTAGTCATAATTATTTTTTCGTAGTTTTGGCAAATGTCCCATAAGCCTCTGAGGTAATGCACCTAAAACAAACATAACTATAAACAAAAAATAAACCGAAATCAACCAGGCAAAATAATTTTTCTCTCGACTATTCATAGATTTAGGCAATAATAATAATTTTTCCAGCAGCCTCGTTTCGAGGCAATAACCGCTTTCGCTGCGAGGCAGCTCCTCTGTTAATGCCAAATGAACTGAAAAAAAAAAAAGATAATGGCGTTCACGGCTATCCGAAAACGAAAGAGCCGAATTTTTGAACGGGAGAAGTGCAAGAATACGCAAAAAAATATATATATCACTCAATGGATGTTACCTACTTTTTGACGAGCCGATCTGCAAGAAAAAAACCGATCTATGTATACAAGAACCATAATACCTCTTGATTTATATCCTAAAACTGTGACGAGAAACAGGCAAATGTTTAAGAAAAGTCAAGGAGGAGAAAAGGTTGTTAAGAACTAAGAATATTTTGAATGAAGATGATAAAACAATTATTGAACTCGGCTTTCGTATGACGTGAAGAATTATGCAGATCTTGGCCAATCCTTTTCCGTCTCATTCAATAACTATAAAATAACTAACGCAAAGGCAGATTAAAGCCCCCTTATCTGAGCACGGCTGGTTCGACTGACTCAGACTCCCACGTAGACGTTCTTAGGGGTACGTCACGCGTTCTCACCCTTCGCTGTAATTGGGAGTTATTTAATAACTTAAGGACCAGAAAGCCGTATTGTGTTTTCAATTACCATATGATTTTTTTCATTTAGAAAGCAATGTAACACGTTTTTTAAATGAAAGAAGCAAACTTACTTGGTATGGGGACAAAAAAGATCCCGCACCTGCCGCCTGACCGAGCTCGTGTAAAAGACTATTTATTCGAGCAATATTTAATTGCCCCCATATTACGCCAAGATCTTGTTTTTCTTTCTTGACAGACCATCATATAAAATTTGCAGAAGACAAAAGTAAATTAACATGTATAACATTGCTTTTCATAACAACGAGCTCTGAAAAACTTTCCTGTTGACTTTCCTGTCTGCCAATCGGTAAAATAGTCTAAGAAGACCCACAGGTCACGTACACATGCCTTAAATAGAATGGGCTTAAATTCATTTAAGCATTTTGTGAATTAGATTGCTATAGGACATATCTTAGAATATCTAAAAAACGTCTCCGCGTTCATATATCCAGATATATGTTGCGGCTAGGATTTCGTGAATGGTTTCAGAACCGATTTATGGACTCTGTGACATGTTATTGCTGCAAATTTTAACTCGATCGACTTACGACACCTGACTCAGCACCTGTCAGTGTCCATTAAGACCTTCTACAGTAGTGCAAACCATTTCCATTCGGAAGTTGTGAGAACGGCCGAACCACATCTCAAGCAGGTCTGTATTTCAAGCGTGGACAACTTTTACGACTGGGAGCGGCGAGCAAGGATTCAAAACTCATTTGGTGAGTAAAACATTGCTCATTATATTGTTATTATTCAGTTATTAAAGTATTGTTCATTTGTTTCACATACAATAAGTAATCGTCGCCGAAAAAATGGTGCTAAGTCGCCTAGCCTGTTTTAAGAAGAGAAGGAGTCATAAAGGCCCGATGTCTGACTCCTTAAGATATTGGTAAAGTTTCAAAGTTTGAACAGCTGAAATGATCATCACGGACTGCGAAGACTTGTCACAACACTAAGATGCGGTTAATACACTTTATATTGGTGGCACTTTGCGTTGTTCATTGTTTCAGATATCCCATAAAGAATCCTTCTATTGGTTACATGTATTCTACTGAAACACCTTGGCTCAAATATTAGTCGATACCCACTGTTTTTTCCCTCTGATCTCGTAAACAAAAAGTCTTGAAAGTACGAACGGGAAGGCTTGCAACAGTTACAATATCACACAAACAAAACAAACGCTCAAATCGTATTTTTCGCAAGGTGGCATTTTAAACTGTTATAGAGAAATTATTTCACAAAACTGTGCAAAGTAAAAACGTCAGGAATACAGAGGTTACACGAGTCATGATTAAAAACGTACGGAAATATAGAAATAGAAATAGATTGCTATAGCCTGATTTCCGACTACGACCGCGCTGCAAAAATGACCCAGGGATCTGAACGATCATGCTCTGATAACAGGGGAACAAGCGTTAGAAGGGAACTGAAGACTGTCTACGATTGCTGAAGATGGTTTCCATTTACATGTACTAGCTGCAATCACTGAACGCCGGCGAACGCGGTGATGATATGGAAACCGGCCTTTCTTAACAAAAAGCGCGAATTGAAAACTTTTCGTTTACCAATTGCAATAACGCAAAAAGGCAAAAAGCAGATAAAAGCTAAAAGTATAATAGGAATTGTACTTGCTAATAAACCAGCATAGGGTTCACCCATTTGCAACATACGCGTAGAGCCGTTGTATTTAAATTTGTTTTTACACCTTAAAAACGCCTATGCTGTGAATGAATGCATCCTAGAGTCATTTTTTTACTAAGCCTTATTAATTCCTCTCATTGGCTTTTTCCTTCTGGCATTTTTCTGGGCAAAAGTTGAGTTCGAGTGTGGTTGACGGGATAAATTGGCAAGTAACTCCAGTTCCAGAATCCTAGCCTCTGATGGTTCTACATTAGCTACATTAGTTTCGTCTGTCAACGCCCTCGATAAATCACACAATGACTTTCGCGGCAATCACAACACTTCCGAAAACCACTCATAATATTTCCACATTTGACACGGGCGAAACATCGTCAAATTACTCCGAAAAAATCTCGCTTTCTCCACATACATAGTCGCATGGAAACTTTTCTCCACTCACACAGTCGATTTATTCAAAATCCCGGATATAAACCAGCGGTCGAAAAGGAGACATAGTGCCCCCGCCTTTCCAAACAATTTTTTACTAAGTCTTTGCCAGGCCTGGTCAGAAATCAGCATCAATTTCCATCTCGCCGAATAGACTTCACCACTAGAACCTACTTTGTGAGGGCAAAGACTTTTTACTGCCAACAACAAAGCGCGTTTATTTTTTTTTTCAGTAAAGAATAACAAGGTCAACTTCTGATAAGCAGTTTTAAAATCATCTGCGGCAGCCGAATTTTCCAAAAACGAGCTATAAGTTTGAGTTCATAACTCTGGGAAGATAAAATTCAGTTTTCAACACCTGCCTTTAGAAAAAAAAAAAAAAGAATTGCGCATTTTCATTGGCATCCTAATCTTGGTATATTATTCACGTTTCAGTTAAGCCAGGATCTCCTGTGCAAGGCCTGATTGCAGATTTGTTGAATCTACTGTATCAGCGCGCTACAGAGAGGATGTGAGAAACCACCAGTTAACAAGCATAATCTACAAGAAAAAGACATGGTTTCACCTGAGCAAGTTTGGCCCGAGCCATTCCCAGATTGGCCAAAAGCCATTCGTGATTGGGGCTGGATGTGGCCAGCCCATATCTTTGGATTTGGAATTCTGTTCGCTCTGTTAACGTTATACGCGTTGTACTGTCTTTATCGATTTTACCAAGCTGCCTTCGTGAGACAGAGGATCCATTTACTGACTGTCAATCTTGAATTGTTTATCGCGGGATTGGGGCGATCCCTCGGGCTCTTTTGGGATCCTTACTTTTCTACCCGCTCATCGTTTGCCAACCAAAACCTAATTCTTTTGATTTCTTGGGGGGTGGCTACCGCATGTATCACTTCAGCATTAAGCATAATGCTTCTTATTTTCTTGCAAACCACAAAAACCAATCTGGGATCACCGACACTACGAAACTTAACTTTCTTAACCATAATGACGCTTTCGAATATCATTTATATGGTCATGACGAATCTGATTGTACGCTTCTACCCCCAAACTAAAGTACTGATTTTCACGTGCCACATTACTTTCTCTCTCTGGGGTCTAGCTATTTCTGTGGGTTATTTTGTCGCAGGCTCAAGAATGTGGAGAAATCTCAAGCCTACGTTACAAGCTCGCTACGCACACAGACATGATCAATGCTTCCTTCGTGATGCGCGAAGATTGAAGCGGCTGTTTTTCCTCATGTGTGCGGCATCTGTTTTCGGTGTTGCCAAGTTTGCCCTGTCTTTATACGTCAGTGCTGGGGAATTTGGAGTTTTCTCAGACCAACGCTACGCTAAACACTGGCCATGGTTCTTCATACAAACAACTTTCAGAATACTTGAGCTTCTACTGAGTGCTTTGGTGTTTCGTATCGGGGTCAAAGGCCGAAAAGATTGCGATCAGCGCGTCATCTTTGCGAGAAAAACCATTGTTGAAAAACCAGTTAAAGCGGAAACGGCATCATAATACGGCCTATTTCAGTTTTTCACTAAGCACTGACGCGCTCGTTTCACGAAGAAAATTTTCATCTTTCTCATTTACTTATCGAGTTAAAATTTTCCAAAACATTTCAGAGCAGCAGTATAATTGACAGTGAATGAATAAGTGAGATTATGGATCTGTAGATTTCTTCGCACCCTTTTACGAT